CGGGAACGGCCACTGCACTCCAGTCTGGGTGACAGAGGTAGACTCCTACTCAGGAAAAAAAAAAAAAATTCATGCTAATTTTTTCATGATTAAATTGAGCATTATTAAGTGGTTTGTACATTTTAATTTAGTGTGAAAGAAGTGCTAAAGACAAAAAAAATCCCAAGAAGTAATTAGATTAAAACCTGGATCTCCAAGTTTCCTTTTAATTCTAATCTTTAATTATTCTGTGGTTCTACACTGAATTATAATTTTGCTGTTGACTATAAACTTGTACTTTGATGTTTCATTCTAAATACCACCATTCCTCACAGTTTTTTTTTTCTAGTAGTTTTTTTTTTTATTCCATCAGGATTTGAGAATAACGGAGACATGAAAAACAAAATGAAACTTAAAAAAGAACTTGATTCCTTGATTTAGAAACTTAAAGCTTTCTACCTTCTTAAATGTAAAATATACATGCACCTGAGTTCTGTTTTTGAGACTCTGAATTGAAAAATGCATATTTCAAAAAAAGAAAAAAGAAAAATGCATATTTCATTTTTAATAGTTATTCCAGGCCATTCTCTAGACTCAAGAGGGCTCATGTTGGCTCCCACGTTCTCTAAGTAGGTCAGAAGCTCTGCTACAGCATTGGCAAGAATCTTGAACGTAAATGTAGATTCTACAAGTGACCATTAACCTCCTTGAAAAGGCTTCAGTGGGAAGCAATTTTGTGCTGCGAGAGGAACCCTGGGCTGATTCTGATTGTGTTTCTAGTTCTGCCACTTACAGATGGACTGGTTTGGGCCAATTACCGACTCTTTCTTGGTTTCTAAATTCTTATTTGCCAAGTAAAGGAATTCCTTCTAACCAGACTCTCCTTTCCCTCCTCCCTTGCTTCAGCCAGCCTGTTGAATGTGCCTCACTCAACGCCCTTGGCCATTTCCCCAGCACGCTGCTTTGCTTTCCTCTGAGCAGGCCATGGCCTCACTCCACAGTCGTCATTTCTGGGAGCTCTGGAGCAATTCCCCATGCACACCATGTGTCTGCTAGTGCCCGGCCTGCTTAATTCAGGGTTGCCACCTGATACATGCTTGACATCCTCAATGACTGTTGAGATCTGCTAAACTGTAGAGGTGTTAAGGACGAATATTTGCAGTTTCCTGGTGTATTAGGCGCTTCTCTCACACCTACTCTGTGTCCTTCTGTAACCTTGCCCCTGAGTGCTTATTATCATTGATGTTTTCTGTTTGGGGCACTGGGTTTTATGCCGTCTGTGCTCACTCTGGTAGGGGGTGGCATCGTGGGAGTCTCCTGGGGCTTTGGTCCTGGCTTCAGCGGAAAGTTGATACATGCCATCTGACATCAGCCCTTCATGTTCATGTGTGTTTGACTTGTTTCGGTAATCACTCCACCTCTGGCTTTCTCAGAACTTTCTAGAGGTTGTCTTCATTCTCTCAGCATACCAGCTTCATGGAGGGAGTGTCCAGTACTCCTTGCTTGTTGGGAAAGTGGTCCTGCAGGCTGTGGGTGGTAGATGACAAGATGGTCTGCTCATTAGCATGTGGTGCAGAGCAGGGGCCGTGGCTTCGTTTGCCCACGGTGCCCACGACTGCTCACAGTGCCCCTCAGCCGCTTGCAGGGAGGCGCCACTGTGGGGGTTGGGACCCCAGAACCCCAGGGAGGAGCTGAGGAGAGTTTTTGAGATACTCTTTAATTTTTAAAGTTCAGGGCAGATTTTTTCTAGTTAGGATTATTTGTGAAAATATTTATTACGACTGTTAAAATAATTCTACCTGTCAAATAATCGAATCCTATGTAAATGCACAGTACAGGGAGCGAATGAGCCTCCATACTCATTCTTAAAGTTGGGGATTTTGTCTGCCAGCCATGTGCAGATGTTCTTTTAAAGGTTAAAAGGGGGGGGGTGCTTATACACTTGGATAAGCACTTTTATTTATTTATTTTGACTTGGAATCTCACTCTGTCGCCCAGACTGGAGTATAGTGGCATGCTTATGGACATTGCAGTCTCGACCTGCTGGGTTCAGCGATCCTCCCACCTCAGCCTTCCAAGTAGCTGGAACTACAGGAGCGCACCACCATGCTTGGCTAATTTTTCTTGATGTATTATAGAGACAAGGTCTTGCCAAGTTGCCCAGGCTGGTCTCGAACCTGTGAGCTCAGGCAATCCTCTCACCTCGGTCTCCCAAAGTGCTGAGATGACAGGCATGAGCCAGGGTGCCTGAAGGCGAGTAAGCACTTCTAAATTGGAGGATTTACTTTTGCATTTGTGTCGGTCACGGGTGGAGGATAGGAATGGAGGAAATGCAGAGGAAAGGTGGTGCACCTGTTCCTAGTGTCGTATGTGTGAGTGTGCAGGTGTGTGCACATGTCTTCCCTATATCTACTCACATGTATGTGCATGCTTGACATGCATACGTACTGTCTGTTTGTATTATATCTTCAGCATTCCTGAAGCAGTGGCTTCAAACTTGACCTTGCTTCAGAATCACCCAGAAGGTTGAGTAAAACCTACGTTGTTTCTGGGACCACCCTCAGAGTTTCTGACTTTGTAGATTTTAAGTGGGCCTCAGAAGTTTCTTTTTGTAACAAGCTCCCAAGTGCTGCTGCTGCTGCTGCTCCAGACAGGGACCCTGCTGAGAACAGAGCCTCGGAGGATTCTAGTCTTTTCTCTGGAGGCAGACTCCTCCTCCTACTCACCCCTTAGCATCCTGCAAGTGAGAGTCAATTCAGGTGAAAGATCGGCCTTTGGGATTTGCCTCTGTGATGCTGAATTTGAGGTTCACACCAGAAATGGCAGGTGGTTTCCTCTTCCCCTCTTGGTGTCTTCTCTGCCTCGGCTTGTCTCTCTGGGTTCAGAGTTCCCTAAAGTAAAGTGTGAGCAGATGTGGCTGTATTTAGGTCAGCTCACCATAGACACACACTCCAGTTTGGTAATGGTGATGGTTCTTTCAACTACTTTTCATGTGCTGTGGTATCAGACAGAAAATTTTAAAAGATACACATAAACCATATGGACAGATGTATGTATATAAATATTGGGTATATAAACTTTTTTTATGTCTGTTCTTCAGATTGATTATTTCTAATGTTTGGTTTCAAGTTCACTCTCTTCTGCAATATTCAATAAATTAACTCTGTATAATGAGTTTTTCATTTCGGTTGTCATACTTTTCAGTTTTAGAATTGCAGTTCAATTCTTTTTATTGTTTTACTTTCTCTGCTAAGATTCTTCCTTTGTAGAGAAGGGGAACCTCTTAGTAGAAGTCTTTTTGGCTTCTTAGTAGAAATCTTTTTACGGTTATCTTCCTAAGAGTGTTGGAGAGGTGGTCTGACTGTATTAACAGGTTGTGAAATAACTCCTTAAACTAGACCAGCACCATCCAACAGAGATATGATGCAACCCATTTATGTCATTTAAAATTTTCTAGTATTTTTGTTAAAATATTAGAAACAGGTTAATTTTAATAACATTTTAGTTAACTCTCATGTCAACATATGGATATTTTAGCATGCAATACATATACAAGTTAATTATGTTTAAATTCCAAAGTGGCCTAGGATGAGAAGGCTTGGTTGGAGTGACAGCCGTGAAGGTCTGTGTGGGCAGATACAGGGAGCCCACCTTTTCCTTCTCCTCCCTGAGAACTTGACCCAAAGCAAGGAGACAGTGCTAGGTAGGACCACATTTCATTGGCTGCCTCCTAAACATAAGCTTAACACAGTTAATTTTGGTGACTCAAACAAATTCTTTTTGAGATGCTTCTTATTGAACTATAAACTGGAATCAATTCCATACATCACTGACAGTGATTAAATTGGCTCAGAAAAATCAGATTCTTTAAAAGACTGTAAACATTTTAAGAGTTCAACAAATGCTGTAAGAGACCCTAGTGACCTTATTTTAACTTGATCATCTCTGTAACGACCTTGTCTCCAAATAAAGTCACATCTTGAGGCACTGGGGTTGAGGACTTCAACATTTGAATTTTGGGGAGATGTAACATAAAAAAGTCCCTATTGGACTGTGTTAGAAAGAGTTAGACCTGTGAGTAAGAAATTTTAATTTTTCTACTTCATAAGAAAAGTGGTCTTTCTCCTTATTTTTCAGTGGCTTTCATACCTGTTAAATTGATGATTTTTCATTCATGATAGAGATGGGCCTGCTAAGAGGGTAAACCAATGTCCCTTCCTGGCTTCACTTCACATAGTTACCTTCAGGCCCTTGGCACTGGCTGTCTGTCCTGTGTCTGGACTTATGACTCCTCAGCCAGGTCTTCCTTACTTTGTCTGCCTGAGCATCACCTCCACAGGATTAAAGTGTTTCTCCTTCTGCCAGGCCGGCCCCAACTTCAGTCTCAGTGTCTATTCTGGAAAGCTCTCTGGTCTCTCCTGGACCATTCAGATCCTCCCCTGACCCCCAAAACATAAATAACTGTTGTAACAGTGTATTTAGAGTCGTTAGGGCAAAACTCATTTATTAGAGAGCAAATTTTCCCAATTTGTATGCTGAATTACCTTCGTGGTTTTAAGACCTTCAGTCTTAACTTCACTGAGATAGCACTTTAGGTAGATAACTGAAGAACTGAATTCCAGTGCATGAAATTATAAGAGTAAATATGACAGTATTTGCACAATTTGCTGAGGTGTGTGACTCTTCTTGAATCTGGGCTTATCTAACTCGTGTTTTTTTATCCCAAGACTTTCTGACATTAAATTTCTACTGGGTTGACCAAAGGTAGTCTGATTAGGTGGTTGATATGATTTTTTATCTCCCCATAATTATTGTTTTAAAAAATTCTATAATGTGGTACCATTGTCCTGTCATCCAGATAAATGTTTAGCCTCAGTGAAGACACAATTCGTTCAAGGAGTAAACTGAGTGATTTAAATCCCTTGTCACCATTTTGAAGCACTTATATTTAAGAATAGCAAAAGAGTAGAGATGATTGTAGGTTTTTTCATGTATAAATGCATTTCTTATTTCTTCACAGGGATCTTCGATTTAACAGAATTCGAGAGATACAATCTGGGGCATTCAAGCGGCTGAGGAACTTGAACACATTGTGAGTATAAACATTCTATTGAGAATGAATAAAAAATATACATAAATCATTATGCCATTTTCCTGTTGGTAGATCTCATTATCCATAATCGGGAGCATGAATGGGGGAAAGCAGAGAAGGGAAATGAGGATGGAATGTGCACTAGATACCAGTATTGTACACGCTGTCCATCTTGTCGGACATCTGTGTGCCCGTCTGCTGCACATTGGGTAGGACCCTTGCTGACCACGGGGCACTTCCCTTGCCTTCATGTGAGTGAGACTCTCCAGCACCACTTCCAGCACCACTGGGGCAGGCTGGCTTCTGAGCTCTCTGTCCCCTTCTCCGTGGCAATGTTGTACAAAATAGGGTTTCTCCTGAACTGGGCATGGACTTAGGCAAGGGGTCAAAGCTGCTCCATTGTATCCCAGTGTTTAGACCCTACAGGGTGGTGGAGGGAGCAAGTGGGGACAGCGTCCAATGTGGCTGCTCAGACCCCTGGCTCTGTAGAAAGCATCAGTGCATGGGAAGCTGGCATCCCTTTTGTTCTAGAATTGAAAATGTTAGCTAGGTGCAGGGCCGTGGGGGGCAGGGACCACCTGTCTTCTGTGTGACCTTGGAGGGAAGGTGACCTGGTGTCCTTGTCTGTGCACTGAGCACACGACCACCACCTTTAATGACATGTCTGCCTAGACTACCATGCTTTCGTGATTTCCTTCAAATTGGCCACAGTCCTGGCTAAAGTAGGAAATCTGAGAGATAGCAGGATAGAGATATATACTCCTTTGTATAGCAGAAAAGAGTTACTTCTTTATGGTATATAGAGCTGAAAAAATTTAGCATGATATGGACACTCATTATGGACAAATTTGCCATGAGGGTCATACACTAAAACTGGTATTTACTGTGTCGATGTGGCATTTATTGAGTGTAGATGATAAAGTCTGTCGCTTAATCATTTTATGACCTTTTCTAAGATTCTAGGAATCTTAAGACAATTTTGAAGTTTTGTTTTTGTTAATTCTTATTGACACTCTTTCATAGGCTTCTCAATAATAATCAGATCAAGAGAATACCTAATGGAGCATTTGAAGACTTGGAAAATTTAAAATATCTGTAAGTTAATATTCAGTTCTTTAACCTAAAAGCTTATGCTGTCTATATTTAAGTATATAACTAGGTTTTGAATTATTGTAAATATACCCATCTAAAGAAGATTTGTTTTCAGAAGGTAAGTCAAGTTTGGTCTGGGATTTTTTTAATAGCTTGCCATCGATACAAAGTGCTACGTTATGTGATTTTTTTGTGTGTGTGCAACTTGTAAGCCTTAAGTAAAATAGGCTGATTAAACTTACAGTACACCTCTTCTGAAAATCACTCAAGGAGTACCCATGCTTCTTGAGATGGGAGGCGATCACATACCAATATGAACAGCTGTTATACATTTTGCAAAATATCAGCTCTCAGAATAGTGTCCTATTGCCTTTCTAACTGTAGGTGAAATGTAAAATGTAAACTACTAATCCCTTTGAAATGTTACTAATTTCTGCAAATTTTCCTGTCTTCCTCCAAGTGATTTTATCTCTTCTTATTTTTAGGTAGCTGAATTTTATTTTTAAAAACTGATTTTAATTAACTTATATATTATCGTTTAAAACATATTCTGCTTGCTATAGTCAGTTTTGTAGTTTAGAAAGTGTGTTCCCAGCAAAGGATCTGGTTTAGTTCCCTTCACACACACCTATTATAGAATCAGAAAGGATTTAGAAAAACACAGAGATGACACCTGGGCTCTTGACAGGGTAGAAGTGTGCTTCCTGTGCTTTCAGCAGATTATTTTTATTTTCAGGACTTAGTAGCTTTTCAAAAACAGGCAGTTAATAAAGGATTTTATCATCTATTTTTATTGGAAATATATATCTTAACAACCTAAATGTTGTATGCTAATTTTTTTTTAAAGTGGTCTTATTGTTGACTATACTCTGAAATCTCTTGATTTTAGCTGTAGCGTGTCCTTTGTTTTTAAAATGAGAATCAGGGCTTCTGCTTATTCTTTGAGATTTTGCTTATTTACTTTTATTTTTTTCTGGTATTTTAAGTGCTGTGCAGGTTCCAGAAGAGGGCTTTTGTTTCCTGGAAAGTAGATTCAGTCAACTGATAGCGACATTTCTTTGTGTGTGTGTGTGTGTGTGTGTGTGTGTGTGTGTGTGTGTGTGTGTGTGTGTGTATGTGTAATAGTTTGTTTTATATTTTAGTTTTTGCTTTTGGCATGTTCAAGGTTAAGTCATTTGGGATGCTCTGTTTTTCACTCTGGCACTGTATTTTAAAAGTAGGTGTCTGACCTCCTATGCTGAGCAGTGTACTCTGAGCCCCCACATGTATAACTTCCTCCCCTCTCTCGCTGTCATACTTTCTTGGGGTCTCAACAGTGAGGACCCCACAGTGACGGAGAGCTCCCTGGGGTGGGATGAAGAGTGGGCTGGTGGTGAAGAGGGATGGCTCATGATTTAGAAATTGACTGGAGACGAGGGAGAGAGTGGGCTGTGCAGAGGGGGTCCCAGGAAGACCCCTTCATCCAACCTCCTTCTCAGATCTCGTTGGGAGAGTACATTAGGATAAATAGTGGTTTAGGAAACTGTGTAAGTGTAGACAGTAATTTAAATGCTTAGCAACTCTCCTGAAATTTATCGATTATTTTTGTCTTGTGTATTATTCAGCATCAAAGCATATTTTTGGAAGTTGAGAGTATTTCATATTTCTTAGAACTCCAGGAAATAAGCCTTTTCTTTAATTCATGTTTCCTAATAATGAAATTAATTCTTGAGTTAATTACAACTCATATTCAAGGGTCAACTCTATGATGAAGTAGAAAATTATAATTTATTATCAACTGATGATCAATACCCACCTATTCTCATGAAAACAAATTCTGTTCCAATGTCTTTATAAACATATATTCATACATTAGTTTGACTCAGTTGTTTTACGAATTCTTTAAAAAGATTGCTTTACTCTCATTTTTTAAGAGTGCATGTAAAGTGATGTTCTCATTGCTATTTGATTTTTTAAAAACAGGCACACAAACTTACTTTTAACTTGTCTTTTATAGAAATAACAGTAATAAGTCACACTTGAACAGTAGTTACTATGTAACAGGCTGTATTCTGAGAGAGAGAGAGAGAGAGAGAGAGAGAGAGAGAGAGATTTAATCTCCGTGATTCCGTCAATTTTACAGAGGAAGAGACGGAGTCACAGAAAGATTGATATCTTATTCAAGGTCAGACAGGCATTAAGTGACCATTCAAGGATTCCACCCATACAGCCTGGAGAATAACTGCCATGCCAGGCCTCTGTTTTGGGCATGCGGCTGTCACTCATAAGGGGACTCTGGCTGGTTTATGTCAAGGCTTGGAATTCTTTGAGAATTACAACCAAACTTTCAGAGGGCAGAAGCGACATCTACTTAGATGGATTGCAACAGGTAAAGACACCAATGCAGGTCTTGTTAAATGGGATCCTGTACCACACATTATTAATTAAAATACAGTAAAACACACTGCCCTTCTGGAAATGAAGTATGTAGAATTACAAGCATCAGGACAAAAATTTGTTGTTTATTTCATGGAACAGGTAGGTAAAACCCAGCTAGTGAGTAATCAGTTTGAAGAGAAGTGTCTGCCTGATCTGAAAGGTAGTTTTCAAAAGTGTGAATTTTGAGACTTGCCCGTCTGCCTACCTCAGAGACGAAGCCAAGCGGATTAGAAGAAATGGCAGTGGTGGGTCTCTCTGTTCTGGGCATAGACAGCATCTGTGATTCTGCCTTCCTGGGGTCCCCAGAGACCCGCTGCTGTAGAGCTGTGGTGTGAGGAGACCTGGCTAACACAAGCCATGCCCAAGACAGGTGGATGCGGCATGCACGTCTTCGTGGCTCCTTTTGGAATGTGATCCTTTTGTGGAGGTTTTCACCCTCAGCCAGTTAGTTTAGGGCTCAGCAAACTTTTCTGAACAGGATAGGCCATGCATGCTTGACCCTGTTGTCCCTGCAGAGTCTGTCACAACTGACCAGCTTCGCCGCTTAGCACAAGGGCAGCCATGGGCAGTTTGCTGTGAGTGTGGTTGTGTTCCAGCAGATCGACATTGGCATTCAAATTTAGTTTGAATTTCTCTTTTGAAATTTTCAGCTATTTAAAAATATAAAAACCATTCTTAGCTTGTGGGCCACAAAAACAGACTGCAGGCTAATCACGTGACTCCTTTGATAGGGCTTTGTTGCTTCTGTTGTATAACGCTGGATTGTAGGTGGGTGTTATTCATGGCACATTCAGTCTTCTTACGGTATAATCCCCAAATTATTCTAGGTATTTTAGGATTATATCAGAACTGTTATAGAATCTTCTAATCAATGCATTTTACATCTTTGTGGGAAAACACTTTTTTCTTCAGGCTTCGAAACAAATGCAGTATCAGAAGCGCATTAGCCATAGTCGTCGAGTCTGAGTTACCTGGCAAACGTAGCAATGGTGTGATCACCTCCAGTGTGTGCCAGCTGCTGTGGAGCCACTTGAGGTTTAAGGGAAGGGCAACCCTCATGAGAGAAACTGTACTTACTGTGTAAATGTTTTGTTTGCATCCTAATACGATCATTAATTTTAAAACTGTCTCCATGTGTCGATTTAATTCCTCTGTTCCACCTGTAGTTTGGCCTTCTGTTCGTGTGCTAATATTCCCCAATGTTTCTTGTTTCAGCTATTTGTACAAGAATGAGATCCAGTCAATTGACAGGCAAGCATTTAAGGGACTTGCCTCTCTAGAGCAACTGTAAGTGTCCTTTCTCTTCCATGCTTCAGTTTCTTGGATACCACCTCCCCTTTTACCTCTCGTAGGGAAAATGGACTAAGTTTGCTGTTTGCACGATGCATGCCTAGACTATACGGGGTGTAGGGAGTATGTGCATGACAATGACAAGGCTATCATGAACTCGTTTTTCGCCACGTCCCCAGCCTCCCCCTTGGCCAACCCTCCCTCCACCCCGCAGTAGACATCTGCTGGGTTTCCTCCATAGTAGCCCAGGCCCTGTGCCATGCACTGAGGATACCAGGGACATCATCACTGATTGATTCCCCGTGTCATCATTGAAAGGAAAGACAGACATACAGACAAATAAGAGCAATACGTCTTTCCCAGGAGCATCCAGGGTGGTGTGGGATCATGAGGCTCCTTTCCTCGTATGCTGTTTCTTGTGTGTGACTGTGAACACATGCAGTTTAATTTCTTTAATCATGATGTCATTATTTTGGGAAAAAGCAGCCTTTTATTCCTTGTAGTTCTAGCTAGCATATGTAGTGTGAAACTAAGTGTTCTGTTTCTTTGACCACATGAGAAGTTGTACTTCACTATGAAGTCAGCATGTGGATTTTCAATAGAATGCCTTGGTTAAAAGGAGGTTTTCTGAGGGGGTTGTTTGCTTGGCCAGTCACCCTTTTCACTCAGTGAGCTGAACCAGTTCCTGAGGTGTTTCAAGTTGTTGTACAGTTTTACAAACATGGATGGTAAACAGCTGTTTGTGGTAATGCAGGGTGACATTCTTTGTACCAGCTGTTTATTTGATGTCATGTGTCATTGCTTGACTGGGCACAGCGATCTTTTCAGAGAATTGGAGGCCTGGCTGGAAAGAGAGCCCACCCTGGGACCGTGTGCATTGAGGTCCTCTTGCTGTTTGTTTTCTAAATCAGTATTTATTTGCCAGAATAAACAGGATGTGAACATATTCGGGAGGAAGTGTTAGATCAGGGGCTATATAATCTCTGCTTCAGAGAGAAGGATATAAAGAGAGCAGGTCATTGCAACAACATATGGAAATATCTAGAAGCAACCAGACATAGGGATAGTTTACGAAGGAACAAGTTCTTGGATGTAACACATTTTTTTATGCATGGGGGCAAATAACATGGTCATAGCCGATGACTAAAATCCTGCCTGAATCAGGAGAGACTCGTCTGCTTTTATGTGGAGGTGAGTTGTGTTGTGTTAAGAAGAAAAGGGCCAGGTCATGGGAGAAAGAATGCAAGAGGAGTGGCATGTGGGCATTTCCAGGTAGGATTTCCTCCCTAAAAATTTGGATGTTGTGGTTGAGCTGCCTTTAGAACCCAGGATTAGGCGAGTCGGGGCCTCTGCCCCTGTATGTATGACTTCATTCAGGAAATGCCCTAGTGCCTCTGAGGGAGGGCTGGCCTCCACCCTCAGGAAGGGCACTGTCTAGGGAGGGGTCAGTTTGTCCACCAAATTTGGTTCCAATCCTCCCCATGACATTTGAGGGGCGGTGGGTGCTGGATCTTTGCTAACTCCATCCTCATCCCTGGAGTCCCTCTCCAGATCTGAACCATCCAAGTTATGTGTTCTTAGCAGCTGCAAGGGAACAGGAAAGCACAAGCCTGCGGATGCAGCCAGGGTCTACTAAGCATCTCTCATCTAGAAAGACTCCTTGCAAGGCATGGGCACGTGTTAAAAAACACACCTGACTGAAGTCAAGGAACATGGACTTGAATTCAATAATGACGTCACTGTACTTGGGGAGCCACTTCCTGTCTTTGGTCCTCAATTTCCTCAACTGTTCAGAAGGGGAGGATGACATCCAAGACTGCTGGAGTCCTAGTTTCTCTAGGAGTCTGAACCCCTGATGGTGGTTTTTTTTCAGCGCCTTTTAAGGCGAGTACCTGAGTCCCACCTGCTCAACCTTCTTCCTGGCCAGCCTGCACTATGAAGTCTAGGGAGAAGAATTTTAAAAACCTCTGTGGGGATTTGGCATATCCCTCTTTTCTTTCCTAGGTCAGCCTCTGCTCATCCTATTAGGCTTTGTTGGAGATTGACCCCAGCCTGCCTGGGCTAGACTGAAATCTCTTCTGAGCAACTCACAACAACTGTGTGTTGATAGTGTTGTGTCACTTGTTTGTCCACCAACTGGCCTCAGCCACAAGCACTTTATCAACATAATGCCTGGCATGCATGAGGCTCCATGATCGTTTCTGGAGATTTCTGTCTGATTCTTCTCCTTTGGGATCTTTGAATCAGACACCCTCCTGCGATAGTCACTGATTGTACTTTTCTTCCTAGTCCTGCTCTAATTCCTTTTCTCCCCCCAACATTTCTCATCCTTGTGTGAAAGGCTACTGAGCACAGGCCTGTCCTGAGTTGAGGGGTAAGGAGGGCACAAGGGCCAGTGTCTCAGGAAGGGCCGCAGGTGTCCACAGAGACTCAGAGTGGCCAGTGCAATGCTGCCTGGCAGTGCAATGTTGCCTGGTGAGTTGGCCCAGGGAGGGCCCAGCAAAGGAACGTTGGTGCCCTTGCGGCTACAGTCATCTCAAAACGTTAACAAAAGTGACCATTGCGCATGAGTTTTAGGTTTGGAATTTATAATGAAGATGTGTAACTGCTGGCATTTTGGTTCTGTTCCTCACTGTGGTCTCTTGAAGAGGTAGTCCTTTAAATTGTTCCTGCCTGTGGTAGATGCCTGATGAGAACTCTCTTCTTCTGTGTGTGGGCAGGAGGGGCTCCCTACAGAAGCTCTCCAGGGGAAGAATGACTATTTGACCAAAGAGGAAAAAAAAAACACACTTTCAAAGTGAGAAAATTAGTGTTCAGGAAAATTAGAAACAATTAGTGATACCAAAAGTGTGTAAGTTATGGAAAGTAAGGAGATATCTAAAATGGAAAAAAATTAAATTAAATCAAATTAAAGTATATGATTATACTTCTGCCAAATTCATATTTAAGTTAAAAGACTTGCAGGAAGGTATTCAGATACTTATATATGTGCCGTCATTAAGATTATGTTGCTTATGTTTTTGTTTCTTGTTTTTTTAAAGCTCCATTTATTTTGTAGGTGAATGCACGGGGGATGGGGGGGCATCATCTCCCATCCCTTGGGAGTGTGAAGGAAATTCAGTATGTCTGCACCCACATATTTAATCATCCTATTTGATTATTTCAGCTGTTTTCCATACATTGTGGGAAATCTAGAGTGTTGCCTGTTGACATATCGATTTGATCTGACGAGATTGGGCATTCAGGGTGGTATAGCTATAGACTGACACAGGAATCTGAAACGACTTGACGAAATTTTTGAGCAGAAAATCTTGATCTGAAAAGAAAATCAAACTTTTTAAATTATTATTTTTTCTGTCTTAAAACACCTCTAGATACCTGCACTTCAATCAGATAGAAACTTTGGACCCAGAATCATTTCAACACTTACCAAAGCTCGAAAGGCTGTAAGTTGCATTTTGTTCCTTAATTTTCATTTTTAGTTCTTGAAGCCCAGCCCTCTGGTCATTGGCTTTGATAGAGTTAAGGTCAATAGCTTTTAAATACCCCAAAACTGTCTTGGTATAAAATCCGCATTCCTGGTCTAACAGTTCAGAAGTAGGACTTAACCATTTTCTCTTTATTTGGGAATGGTGACAAAACAGAAAAAAATTCACATTTTTGCTGGACTAAATAACATTGTTCTCAAATTCATTTGTATTAATACATGTAATCATGGGGAAGTTTTTAAAAACTGATCTGTTTGATGGCTTCTGTTCTTTTCTACACATTTAAGACATAGTTTTAAAAATTGATTTGTTAAAATATTTCTTTCAACAGATTTTTACATAACAACCGGATTTCACATTTAGTTCCAGGGACATTTAATCACTTGGAATCCATGAAAAGATTGTGAGTATAATACCCTTTGTGTTACCTTTTCAGCGAAGCCTTATTTCTCCCTGTTATATATCTGCTTCCTTGGTTTTTTGGGGGGTCTTGTGAAGTGTGTATAACAGTTAGAATATGCACTGTGAAAGAGTGTGCACACATGGAGCCTGGATTGAATCCGTCAGAAAGCAAAGCAGAAAACAACTGACTCAGGCAACGTGGCAATAAATTAATCCTTATAAGCGAGTCAGATATTTTTAAAAAATCATCCTTAAATTCTCTAAATAAAGTCTTAATTCCAGTACTTATTTTACTGGTGGAAATAAAACCAGTCTAGAAAGCATCTCTGTACTGTTCGATAGTTTTTCTTTATGCTGAGTAATTTGTTATAATAGAATTAAGGCGTTATTACTGATAGAAAAAAGTTGTACGGTATCCTTTTTCTGTTTTGCTCATGGTCTTGAAGCCATTGTTTTCAGTTCAACATTGTTGAGTGTCTACAATGAACTAGACCGAAGGAAGAAACAGAAAACACCAAGACACGAGCCTAGCCCCAGAGTGCTCTCTTGTTGTTTTATCCCTTCAGTGAAATAAAATAGAATAAGGCATAGAGTTTCATAATTACTTATGATTTTTTCCCCTTAGGCTGAAGGTATCACCAGCCAAACTAAAAATGTACATTCTAGGTAGAAGATGGGATGACTTCATCCACGTTTGACAGATAGGAGAGAGTAGAAGGAAATGACCAGATAAATGCTCTAGAAAGTCCAGGGCAAACGGGTGAAACTGAGTCCAGATTGTACTGACAACTAGCTGCCTTTCCCTGTTCCAGCCTCTGGATGTCTGGCACACACTCCTTCCCTGCTGTTTGCCCACTTTCTAGAGTTGTGTACACAGTAATACCCTAGATTGAAATTCCATGACAGGTTACTCGTGCTGTGTCCAGAGGGCCCACAGTGTCCCGGCTGCGTGTGTCCGGAGCCTTCTCTGACCTCGCTTCCCCGGGATCCCCAGTCCCAGGAGGCCCCTGCTGCCTGCCCCACCTCCCCAGGCCCTGGCAAGTCACCCTTTTCTACTTCAGAGCAGGCAGGGGCCAGTGGGTCGTTCGTGTTCTTCAGGTTCTCTGTGCTACTTGCTCGGCCTAGAAGGACATGCCAGGTGTCATGCACCCCATCATGCCCATCTGAGTTCCTGTACTGTTCCCATGGTCCTGCACTGACTTTCATCCATGGACTGTGGGGTAAGGGAAGCATGTGTTGGGTGCTCTGGGCCAGCTCCTGCCCGTCTGCCTCACAGCCTCCTCACCTGAGGACCACACACATGGGCGCGTCCTGCCTGTCCCGAGACATGCTCATGCTTACTGAGGCAATGGCTATTCCAGTCATGTGGTCAGCGCTGTGCCCCGGTCTCCTGTGGGCTCATGTCCTCATCATCCCCCTCCCAGAGCCAATGCCAACCCATAGAGGTGGACCAGGGCACAGCCACACAGCCATCCCAAGCTCTGTGACCACCCTGGGTGGGGCACTTCACAGCTTCTCAGCCCCCCTCTGTGGGGCAGAGACATGGGCCGCCTCACTGGGTTTGCTAGTGAGCACGTCCAGGTACCAGTTGCCACTGCTTCTTCGTTTTATTACTTTTAAAAAATTTTTTAATTTTAATTTTTTATTTTAATAGCTTTGGGGAGTACAGGTAGTTTTTGGTTACATGATTGCATTGTGTGATGGAGAACCAGGTGCCAGTTTCTCCCATCACGTTTGCCCATAGCTAGTGTTTCCCACTGGAAACTCCTCTCTCTCCAAAGACAACTTCTTACTTTTGTGCAGGAAGAGTGGTCTTTCCCAGGGTGGAGGCACGTCCTACCTATACCCTTGTTGAGGCAAGTGTGCTGGGTGGCCTGTGACACTTTTACCAACAGGGTTCCAGGATAGCTCAGACCTCATGAGGCTTGAGGATACACCCCAACCAGCAGATTGCAGTTCAGCCCTCAAACTCTTCCTCAGGGGAGGTTTCAGGACAGAGTGGAAGAATATCTCATCCTGCCATGCCCACGACGTGCTGAGAGTTGAGTGAAGGAGATGGTTTGGCAGCTGTGATTCTTAACGGTGCCACTGATTTCTATGAAAGGCTCCTCCCTGTTTCCACAAGCTTCCCCAACCTGTCTAGCCAGTGCTTATTCCTATGCTTTGAACTCAACACCCACAGTGTCTGTCATTTATCAGCCTTTCATTATGACACCATCGCCTCTTGGTGTCATTTGAGTATATTTTCCACTCTTGACATGTGAGTCTCTTCTTCACTTTCCCCAGTCGGGTCAGATTGGGTCTCAGATTCTCTCGTATGAGACATGTCCCATCCCAACGTCGAGTGCCCACAGGCTGGTGATCCAGGACCTCACACCCCTGTCTGAGTGGATGGACCACCCTGTCTCACCGGCTGCTTCTTCCACAGGCGATTGGACTCAAATGCACTTCACTGTGACTGCGAAATTCTGTGGCTGGCGGATTTGCTGAAAACCTACGCCCAGTCAGGGAATGCACAGGCAGCTGCCACTTGTGAATATCCCAGACGCATTCAGGGACGGTCCGTGGCGACAATCACTCCGGAAGAGCTGAACTGTGGTGAGTGAGCCCGGATGACCCATGAGAGGCAGGGAGTGGCCCCAGGCCTGGGCTCCATCCCTGGCATTGGCATGAATGTGTCTCAGCCATCACGGCTGAGTCCTGGACAAGGTCTGTCAGGGAAGCCCTGCCCTGTAGTATCTATAAAAGACTATATAACTACCTGGTCATACACAGTTCCCCTTGCAGGTTATCCTGCAAAAAGGAGCCGAGGGCAACACACTGCTTCTGTCTCTGCCTCACTCCTCCCCCCACGAAGGGCTGCAGCCGCCCAACTGGCAGAACTTGTCTGTGGAGATGGACGCTGGGATCCGAGGGCCCTGGGCAGACTCTGGGTGGGTGTTCATTGGGGGTGGGGGGAGCCCTGTATTCTCCCCTGGCCGTGGTTACCCAGGAGCTCATGTATGCTGCAGCTTTTTGTGCCATTGTTTGTTTGTAACACCTCAGTGTAAACATTATCAGAAGAAAGGGACATGCCTGCCTGAGATTTCAGGGCAGAATTTTCCTTATAAATGCCTAGAGTGTTCAGCTCTTTTCATTATTTTTTCCACTTTTTTTTCTGTTGCTAAAATAGTGTCTCCATTCTTCCACCAAAACATCATCATTATTTTTAAATAGTAAAAACATTAGTGAAAATGAAAAACCAGTACATTTTATAAATTGCCCCACGAATAGCTGCATTTGTCATCATTTATAGAACTGTATAAACTCTGTCCCTTTATAGATGTGTTTTCTTGTCTTCTTATCTGTAAATTTCACTTATTTGCATCATGCCACATACCTAGAAGTTGTCCGGAGCATAAGCACCTGTCAGGTCAGTGTCTGTGTAGCAGCCAGTCTCTGGAATTGAGAGGATCCTGCACTCACGTAGAAAGCCAGGTAGATGGGGCCATTTAAAAGGTGGCCGGGCTCGGTGGCTCAGCCTGTAATCCTGCACCTTTGGGAGGTTGAGGTGAGTGGATTGCCTGAGCCCGCGGGTTCAAGACCCGCCTGGGCAGCGAGATCTCATCTCTACAATAAATAAAAAAATCAGCCGGGTGTGGTAGCGCATGCCTGTAGTTCCAGCTACTTGGAAGGCTGAGGCAGAAGGATCGTCGGAGCCCAGCAGGTCGAGGCTGCGGTGGCTGGGAGCGGCCACTACACTCCAGTCTGGGCGACAGTGTAAGACTCCAACTCAAAAAATAAAATAAAATAAAATAAAAAATAAAAGGTGGCCGGAGAGGTGTAAGTACTGGGGAAAGATGCAGCTCCCCGCCCCTCAGAGTTGTGGGCACTATCCTCTGGAGGCACTGTGTCAGGAGGGGTTTACAGAACAGTCAGGGGAGCAAGGTGGCTCCAGGGGCCCCAATGATCTGCCTTTGGGATTGACTGTCTGCTGCAAGCAAGGCCACCTGCGTGTGGTAGAAATGACAGGGGTAGAAATGACAGGAGTGTCACATTGCCCGAGGTGAGTTTGACTTTATTCCTGGCTAATGGTGCAGTCTAGGCAGGGGTTTTAAAATCCGTTCTGTGCATTAGTTTTCTTTTTTGTAAAAGCAGGATCCTCAACTCTTGGTGAGCTATTGTAAACATCGGAGCTAAAAATTTAAATGACTAGTGTGGTATTTGGCAGATGGTAGTAGGCATTCAGACTGTGTTGGTTTTATTCTCATCATCATTCTGACACTATTTTGATTCCTAGAATTTCATAACATCGTACACATACACGCACAAAAACATCCACACACATAACGTGTATTAGTGTTTATTTTGGTAAGGTGAAAGGATTTTCCTGTGTGATGGTTTTGTAATATAACAAATACATAGTTGGGTTTTTAAAAAAGTTTTAAATATATCTGATGTTCTGTTATTGAAGAAACTGCAGAAGGGGCAGCTAGAACTGAGCATTAACTGGTGGCTGGGGTGGGCAACACTACACGAGTTTCTAGACTAGGGAGCAAGAAAGGCCCTCCATCCCATTGCAGACCCTCCCAGCACTGCCTGTGTCCACTGGGGACCCCAGCTCTGCCCACATCTCTGCAGCATTAGTGGCCAGCAGCTCCCAGGAATGGCTCCAGCAGAAGGAGCTGCCCCATGAGTCCCCGGCAGAAGGGACCTGCTGAGGTCAGTGAGGCCTAAGACCTACATCACTTGCTGTGGACGGGCCTAGCCTGCTGTCCTGCAGCTAATATTCCTGTGAGCTAGCTCTGTCCTGTGGTGGTTTTCCAAGAAACCACTCACAGCTTCCCCTTTTTGCAGGGGCTGTGCTGAGGCTGTGTCATTTGAGACCCCTTGATACTTACTCTACTCCATGTTTTGTTCTGTTGGTCAATAGCTATTATTATTTTTATGGCAGTTTTATTGAAGTATTGTTTCCATGCCATGCACCTCACCCTGTTTAAGATATGGTTTAGTGGGTTTTAGTGTATCTAAAGGTTTGCACAACCTGAAGAATGGAAATAATAGTGACAGGTTTCTTTTAGTCTGATAGTGATAGGGAGACGTGGGAGGGCTTGAGAAACGCCAGAATGAAGCTTATTTCTAGAAAGATTTTTCTGGCAGCCGTGGGGAGAATGGATCAGGGGAGTGTATGAGGGAGATAAGGAGGCCCGTGAGAGGCTGTGTCAGTGAGAACCTCTGAGGCAGATGGTCCCAGAGCCACAGAGAAGTGGAAAGAGGAGACACAATACCCAGATTCATGTGGGGTGACGGGTGCGTTAGAGCTGCCAGAGTCCAGACCGGGCGGCAGACGCAGGCACAGCCACCCTCCGTTTTAGAAGATGGAAGGAGACAATACAGGAGCAGCCCAAGTTGGCTGGGCCCCATGTCAAGTGGAGGGTCTCTCCCTTGGCTTCTGAGAAGCAGGAGAAGCGCCAAGCAGAGTCTGCACCCACAGGATATCAGATGTTGTGCAGGGCACGTGTGGGTGTGGTTGTGTTTTTTTCTTCTGTGATACTCACAGCATGTACATGAGAGCCAGACGAGCACACTGAGGTGACAAGGCAGAGAATGGGACGTAGGATTGCCCTGTTCCCAACCGGTTCCTTCCTGGTTGCCGAGGAGAACTCCCTTCATCTACAGGCCTGGAGCTCAGGAGAGGGGCCCCCGGGACCAGCGCTCCAGGACCACAGCCCCCAGGTGGTCTCACAAGGCAGAACGTGGAATTCCGGGCATGCAGGAGGCAGGAGAGGCCTCTCTTCCTCCTCCTTGGGGTGGAAGTGGGGGGTGGGGGCATCTCTGGAGGGCATGGGAGATGCTCTGGCTTTGGTGTCTGCCATCTGCCTGTGCCTTCAGAGTTTTATTCTTCCAAGGTTGCTTTAGCTCAAAAGGATTATTTCTGTTATTTTATTCGCTGTACATAGTTTCCTGTGGAGCATTCACTCTGACAGGCATTTTGCTTCCTTAAAGCGCCTTGTGAACCCTGAAGGCAGTCACTTGAAGCTTGCCAGAAACCGGCTCCATGTCTGCTCTCTCCAGGTTCTCAGAGCATGGCAGTGCCAAGGCCTTCACGTGGCTGCAATCTGCAGTGGCACTTGGGAATGGCTCAGGGTTGCTTTTGGACATTCGTGGCATTCTCCTGAACACGAGGGACTCGCATAGGCTCCTATTTATTTTCATGTCATAGCTTTAGACTAAGAAGATTTTTGTTTTCTTGTTGGGCATAGAAAGGCCCCGGATCACATCAGAGCCCCAGGACGCAGACGTTACCTCAGGGAACACTGTGTACTTCACCTGCAGAGCCGAAGGCAACCCCAAACCCGAGATCATCTGGCTGCGAAACAAGTAAGTTGGGGTTGGATGGAAATGCCCAGGCTTCCCTTGGAATTGCATTTGGACGCCCCCTGCCCTGAGCTGCATCTTACCACCCTTATGTCCCCCACCTCAATCTTCCTCCTCCATGTAGGGAAACGTGTAAAAGAGAACATTCTTTTGCTTTTCTGGTCTACACACCCACTGTAAGGAGAAATGACTCTCTGGCCAGGGCCCCTCTGAATGACCCTGGGCTTCCCTGATAGCTGAGACATTCTCCCCTATCAGCACGTCACCCCTGTCCCTTCTGGGGTTGGAGCTGGAGGGAGAGCCTGGCTGGCTTTTCTGTCTTGCCCACTTCCCTCAGGCTGCGGCTTGTGCTCTGGCTGGCAGCTTCTGGCTTCTGGTCATTGGTGTTGGCAGGCCTTGACTGGGGACATTGTGACCAGACCCAAATGGGTGTAGAGTGGCCCTGTCCTCTGCTGGGTATACCGTCTTCAGGGAGACCTGAGCGCCAGAGTAGCCGCTGACATGCTCCCTTGAGTCATCATAGGTTCACTCAACTCTGTGTGTATCTAATTTGCCTCCTGAACAAAAGGAGGTCTCCCCTTCCTTCCACAAACACTTTGTGGGGCCTGTTCAGGTTAAGAGGGTCCCATTCCCAATAGCGGTCACTCACACATGACAGAGGGAAATTCTGCAAATTGGCCATTACCTGTGTGCCAGCGCTGAAACCCATGTGTGAGCCCAGGTGTTGGGGGGCACCCTTCCTCAGCTGTGTGCAGGAGCTGGGCTTGTGTTGGTGAAGAGGAGATGGAGGCTAGGAAGAGAGATGGAAAGGGAGTGCAGAATGTGCAGGGGAGTGAGCAAGGCAGGACTCATGGTGCCGGCAACAGAGGTGCTGGTAGGAATGGCGTCAGGCTGCTTGAAGGCTCTTGGTGGGGGCCAGTAGAGGGGACCTGGGTCAGGTTGCTGAGCCTCATCTGAGTTGAAGTGAAGCACTTTCCAGCTTACCCTTGGAAGTGAATTCTTAAAAGGAAATCCTAAGATAAAGCCACCTTGGCATCACTACTCAACTCTGTCCTCCCAAGGACAACTGGATGCACTTGATAATGGAGACCTTCACTGTAGGTCCTGGCATTTGCATGTTGCCCTCTGGCTGTGTTTAGTCATGAGGGAGCAAGGAGGATATCTCTGAGATCAGCCCTGTGATACACAGGGCCAGACAGACCAGACACTGGTGGAGTCATTGTTTCAAACTTCTGAGATCAGCCCCATGATACTCAAGGCCACTGATAGAGTCATCATTTCAGACTCCAGAAGCAAATAAGGCTTGGCTCTCGGGTAAAGTTCTATTCCTAGAAGAGGTGACCATGAGACCTGCACGTTGGCGTTCCAGAGATATCAGGGCCAGCGTCAGAAGATGTGTCATACCTAGGTGGACTGCAGAGGCTTGCTCCCGATCTAGACTGTGTTACCCTCATAACCATAAGGTCACATTGACCTTGGACCCAGCACTGTGCAGGAAACATGTAAGGTACTGTCCCACTCTTCAGATGTCTCCTTGTCTTGGACAGCTCCAATGTGGATGAGATTTTAAATCCAGAATAGAACACTTGAGGAATTCTGAAATATTAAGAAGTGTACATTTAAAAGGCAGAAAAGCATACTTTCAGCTCAAAGCCTTCACATCTACATTTTCCAAGGGGAACCCAAAAAAACCCAGAATTATCTTTTGGAGGGTATGCCTTTTATAGTACACTCGGAATTTGTTCCTCCAGATCAAACGGTCAACCAAAGTTCTTATCTGAAAATTTTGAGAAGGCTACCTCCCAATTTGGGGTAGAAATGTCCCGAGATGTGATAAATGGGTTCTTCCACCATAACAAGGCACCTACCTGCACCATGCTGAGTGTTCAACAGTTTTTGACCAAAAAACAGCATGACTCCCTATGTCCCACCCTCCCTATTCACCCAGTCTTGCTCTGAGTGACTTTTTTGTTTGTTTGTTTACCTGGATGGAAAAAGCCCTCAAAGAGAAATGTTTGGCCGATGTGGAAGAAGTAAAACGAAAACAACAGAAGCACTAGAAGGGCATAAAATTCACATGTTGAAAAACTGTTTTCTGCAGTGGAAGAAACATCTCGATAGGCATATCGGGTTGATGCATAAGTTTGTAGCATTTTTCACTTGCCCTTGGAATGCAAATGTCACACGATGGTTGACTGGTCACGGTTCATCACGTGTGACAATTCCCAGGTTGACTAACATGGATCATAGTGGATTACAGTGTTGAAACTGTCTTCATCAAAACCCGCTGATCTTCCTGAACGTGTAGAATCACTCAGATCAAAGTGGCCATCTTTGAAATGGCAAAGCCATTGTCTTGCTGTTCTTTCCTGCTGGCATTCTCCCTGCACACGGCACAAATGTTTTGAGCCACTTCCACTGCCTTTACTCCTCTGCTAAACTCAAACAGAAGATTATGAGGGCAGTGTCCATTTTTTTCCACTTGACACTCCATTTTCTTTCGCCCCAACTTTTTTCAAATCCACAAACCCAAGGCACATTCACAGGCATAACATTGTCACTCCAAATGACAAACTCTCCACATCGCAGTTTGCCTAACCCCAAACAAACACCAAGAGGTTATGCATCAACCTAATATTGCATCAGATGGAGAGTACTTTGAAGGTGACTGATGTGTAAACGTGTAAGACTAAATATACAACTTTTTATAAGTAAATTCCAGGGATTTTTGGGGTTCCACCCTCACATAAGTGAAAAAATTGATGCTAACATTAAACCTCAGAACCGAATATGGGAGAGCCAGAGCCCTGAGGCCGGATGTCTGGGTTGGAGATCTGCCATATACCCATTTGCCTCCTGGCTGACTGCCTCACCTGCTGGCCTGTCTCATAGGATAACCTGTTGGCCTGCTGGCCTGCCTCACTTATAGTCAGTCTCACCTGTCAGTCTGTTTCACCTTAGGCCTGTCTCACCAGATGGTCATCCTCACCTGCTGGCCTGTCTTATTAGATGGTCAGTCTCAACTGCTGGCCTGTCTCACCAGATGGTCAGCCTCACCTGTTGGCCTGCCTCACCTGGCAGTCTGTCTCACCTGTTGGCCTGTCTCACCAAACGGTCAGCCTCACCTGCCAGCCAGTATCACTAGATGGTCAACCTCACCTGCTGGCCCACCTTATCTGATGGCCAGCCTCACTTGCTGGTCTGTCTCACCAGATGACCCACCTCACCTTGTGGCCTGCCTCTTCTGGTGGTTAACCTCATCTACCAGTCTATCTCACCTAATGGCAAGCCTTACCTGACTACCTATCTCTCCTGATGTCCAGTCTTACCTGCTGGCTCACTATGTTTATGAGAGGGGATTAGGCCATGTCAGAAAGCTGTCTCATTTGTTTGGCCTGAGCTGATTGTTGCTTTCATCCAGCAAACCCTGTGACCTAGGACAGATTTCCCTTTGGGCAGATGTGTGCCAGGCACAGGAGGACCTGAGGAAGGTGTGGGAGAGGATGGGCACTGGCCAATTTAGGAGCCTGTGTATAGGATTCTATGAGCATTGTCATGGGGATATGCTTTCACACAGTCTGGTGTTGTTCCTTCTGCATGAATAATTGGGCCTCATTCAGACTCTGCTGGCTTCTTAGGAAATTGAGGTGAAGTCCTGCTCCACAATGAAGTTGATTAATGACCTGAAAGGAGGAAATGGACTGTTATTTTAAGGTAGCCTTGTCAGTCTCAATGATCTGCCTTCCCACATGGCTTGGTTGTGTGGCTTTCCTTGCGCTGTTGGCACCCTTGCCGTAGACTGTGATCTCAGGGACGTCCAACTTCACCTGTCTCCTCTTTATATGCTTCTATACAATGGGTGCTGGAGGGAGATCTTGGGTGAGCTGGGGGCTAGAGGCGAGGAGCTGAGTCACAGGGCCAAGGGGCCACACCTCTCAAAGGTGTCTGTGTGGTCCAGAGTGCACCTGTGTGCACTCAAAGGTGCAGGGGCCCAGGAGAGAGGTCATTGCTGTTTAGAACTGACTGTATCATTCAGAGGATAAAGACACCAGTCCATGGCGCCTGGGATGGAGCTAATGGTATATCCCAAAGGGAGGCCACCGGCAGCTTGCAGGCATTATTTTTTTTAAAATACAGCAAGGTGTATCTTTTGCTGTTAGTAGTGTCAGTGTGTTTCAATCCTTTTTATTCAGTTCATCAGAAACAGAGAAATTCTGAATTTTCCTTTGAATCTTTCCACAATGTTCAACGATTTCTCCTTTGGAATTTGGACCACTTTAAACATTTGGGGAGACTGACTACGTGAATAATAAAGATAAGAATGTGAATGAAATAGAGATGCAAATACATGGGCATTATTTTCAGAAATGCTGATTAAGTCAGAGGTTGTTGGAAAGCAGAGTTTCCTGGGAGGTGAGACATTGATCTCATCTGGGATGTGCTCACGTACTCTTGGGGAGGCTGGGGGTGCTCCTGGAGGAGGAAAGCCCTCCACTGGGGATTGCCCAGACAGCTCCTTGTGCGTTAAACACCTGTGCATACCAGATTTCTGTCTTTATAGTAATGAGCTGAGCATGAAGACAGATTCCCGCTTGAACTTGCTGGACGATGGAACCCTAATGATTCAGAACACACAGGAGACTGACCAGGGCATTTATCAGTGCATGGCAAAAAATGTGGCTGGAGAGGTGAAGACGCAGGAGGTGACCCTGAGGTACTTTGGGTCTCCAGGTATGTAGAGAGTGTTTCACACGGGGGCCCTTTCAGAAATGTCTACCCTCTGTCCACTTTCTGCTTTCCTTGTGCCCCAAATCAGTAAAGTAAGAACACAGATTAAAGTCTCAAGTGGAAGCTCTTGAACCAGGGTTGACCATTGAAGCTTTTGAAGCACAGGGTCACAGGGGACTTGTGAGCATTGATCTGAACCACGGTCAGCCCCTCACCTGAGGACACACTCAGAGTCAGCATGTTTGAGGCAGGTGATGCTGCGAGCCTTAACTTGTCTGATTTTTGCGTCAGCTGGTACATTGTACCATGGACACGACAAATATTTATCAATGAATGGTATTTCTTAGCAATCAAATTTCAGTTCAAAGGAAAGCAAAAGGATATACTGCTCCTGAGTCAAAGTTCTTGCTCAAACAACTTTCCACAGGTTTGAGCCAAGGCATTTAGCATCTTTCCAAAGTCAGAATGTTGTGAGTCTGTGCAAAGAGGATCAGACACACCTCCTGGTCATAGAAGGAACCTGTGCTCTATTTGTAAGGAATTAAAAAAATCAGCAAAATAGGAAAAAACTATGTAACACTGTAAGTATATGTTATAGCATAAAGAAGAATAACAGACCATGAATGATGGACTTACTCAGGAGAGTTGCCATGTTAGTAGGCTAATTGATTACTGAAGAGGAATATTTGGCCAACCCTTTATGACCTAAGAGTTCCAAATTTATCTCCTTTTATTACTAATTTCTGTGTCTTTCTCAGGAACAACAGCCTTATTTACTAATCTGAGTGTGTCCAAAGGACATCTGGCCCAAGGTTTTTGATTCAAGGATATGGGCTTGTGATAGCTAAGGATTTGGAAAAGCAGCAAAAAACAATTGGCAATAAACTTTCTCACAGTGAAAGATAAAGCACTATCTATATATGAAGACTTTGCATAGAAATTGCCAAGCCCTGAAAAAGTGGCTCCAAGAGAGGCATCGAAGGTGTCCCCCAGGCTGGTGTGGAGGAGGCCCTTGCTGTGAGGGAGTCGGCTATGAGTAAACCCAGAAGGCTAGCCCAGCACTGGCACACCACACCCTGCAGGCCAGACCTGGCTCATTGCCTGTTTCCTCAACAACCACATGGAATTCAGATTTCAGTGTTTATAAATTTAGTTTTATTCGAACATCACCATACCCATTCTTTTGCATATTGTCTATGGCTGCCTTTATGCTATTGTGGCAGATTTGAATAGTAGCAACAGAGACTGTGTAGCCCTCAAGGCTTGAAATAGGTATTATCTTTACAGAAAAAATTGCTAACCCCATCTCAGACTATGGTAATAAACTATAGGAATAGGAATAGAGTGCCTTTTACATTTCCATGGGCCATAAGTGGTAGACCGCACTCAAATATGTCCTCAAGCTCTGTTTAGTATGGAAGTTTACAATTGTTTTCCTCCTGCTGAATTAAATTTTGATCTTTGACACTTCTCTCTGAACTTTCTGCCTTAACTTGTTTTAATGTAGTCAGAACAGCTTTCTCTTGATTCATATTTGCCAGCTGCATCTTTTCCCATCATACTACTGTGAGCCTCTCTAGAACCGTATTCTGGATGTTTGTTATAAACAACATAGAGCTGGGTCTCTTAAAAATGTCCAGACTGAGATTTTCTTAAAGTAAGCTTATTTTTATTTATTATAGCTAGCAATACTAGATTTATAAATTCTACTTCTTATTTTGAACTATGTCTCAAACTTTTCCTATGCTTCTTATCTTATTTTGAAATAATTATTTTTCGTCTTTCTCTTCCCACGACTAGTTTGGAAACCATATGCTCTGTTTCTGTTCTTTCGGTGGTTACCCTAGAAAATTTAAATGCATTCTTAAACTGCCCAAGTCTGAAGTTCGTATAATCTTTCTCTCAGTTTATGTGCTGAGTTCTCTGGGATTTTTAGCCTATTAACATGGCTCTTATTTTGTTCTCCCACGGTCTATCTAAATGCATCTAGGTTCTTACTCCCGTCACTGTTTCTCTCTTTGTCCATCTTAGTTCCTCTGTTGGCGGTCCCCTTCCTTCTGCCTAATGTCGAAGGAACTGAGCAGCAGCCCCATGTGAGGACCCACTTTAGACTCACAGAGGCTACATGAAATGCACTTCTCCCTTCTACTGGGCATAGTTCCCTGGGTAGGGCAGACAGGGCTGAAGGGAGTTCTTTTTCATACCAAGGGCACTGCATGCTGGATCCTCAGCCAGAGAGATTTCTGTTGAGCTCCTCTTCGAGGGCCTGCCCTGGTCTTCCTCTCATCTTGTGTATTTCATGAGGTCCTTTAAAGCTAAATTTAAATTGCAAGGTTCTGCATATGCCCTCAAGGCCCACTTTGGTGCTCTCATCTCTGTGAGCAACTTCATAGCTTCCAGTTTGCTATTCTTATAGAAATACTAGTATAAAATTGCATTTTTAATAATGTGTTGTTGCTTAGGTATTTGATTATTACTAAGTTATTATTAAACAAACACAAAAAGGGTAGAAAGTCTTCCTCCTGTTTCTCTTATTCACTTAATTCTAATCCCATTCCTACTTCCCAAAATACTAATAGTAGTGTATTCTCCCTCCTTCCACAAAAATCGTAAGCACATTCAAGGCAAGCAATTTTTCTTACTCGCCGTATCTTAGAAGTGTTTCCAGTCTTTCATTTCAATGTATGAGGGGTTTTCTTACTCGCTTCCTTTTTATAGCTGCACAGAACACCATTATCTAAATGCACCATAAATTATTTAACAAGTTCCCTTTGGGAGTATATTTAAACTTTTTCAAAATCTTTAGCTGTCACAGGTTAATATCCTTTATTCAAAATCCTTTGGGCCACATGTCCTTTGAAATTTAGAAACTTGACTGGGTGCGGTGACCATGCCTATAATCCCATCATGTTGGGAGGCCGAGGTGAAAGCCCACGGGTTCGAGACCAGTCTGGGCAACTTGGTGAGACTTTATCTCTACAATAAATCAAAAAATTAGCCAGGCATGGTGGCATGTGCCTGTAGTGGAAGGCTGAGGCAGAAGAATCACCTAAACCACTGCACTCCTGCCTAGGTGACAGAGTAAGACTCCAACTCAAAAAGAAGAAAAAAGAAATTCAGAAACTTGAGAAATGTTTTTGAAGTGTAATGTGGTACATAATTCATAGACCAACATACACTGTCAGTAGTCTTGGACAGTATCCTGTAGTAAGTGTGCTAATATCCTATAGTGAACTGTATGAATATTCACAGTAAGTGGGGTAAATAAAGATTAGAAGTGGCCTCATGCTAGATAGATCCAGTTTCACAAACAAATAACTTAAGAAAAAAAATCATGATTTTTGAAGCTTTTTGAATTCTAGAATGTGGAGAAGGATGACTGACCTGAAGAAACAGCAGGACAAAAACAAAACAAACACACAGAAGTTTATTTGTACAAATGTCATTGTGTATGCTTGTAGAAATAATACATGGGTTAAGTTCCTGGCAGAGTGATTTCTGGTCAAAGGGTTTGCGCATCTTAATTTCAGTAGGTATGGCCATGGCTCCACACGTGGCTGTGCGGGTGTTGACTACCCATGTGGCAGAGTTCTGTTCCCACACAAACACACCCATAGAACACACTAGTAAGTGCTTGGGTTGTGGTCTTTTTTTCTAGATTTAGAGTTGAAAAATATTATCTCAATGTAGTTTTAATGTGCATTATTTGAGTAAAATTGATACTTTATGTTCTAATTATACTTTACAAACAATATTTTGTGCCAATAAGAACTACTAACTATGTGTAACAAGATTAGCATAATGTGTTTAGAATAAGCAAAAGTAAGAATTCTCTGTAGAGTCTAGCACATGTTTAATGATATCCTACTATCCTACTCTTGCTAGTCAATTGTGGTTGCTCATGGCTCATGGGCTGTCTGCATTTTGTTTGACCTAAGGCTGTTAACCATTTTTGTTGTCTGCACTTTCCTTTAAAAAAAAAAAAGAAAATGCAATTAAGTTTTGTTTGCTTTACTTATTTTGGAGGTAAGTAGATAGAATGAGTACCTGACATAGGAAAAATCAAGCAAAAAATGTGTCCAGCTGGGAGAAATTAATTGAGAATTTTTGTTTAATTGTGACAGCTCGACCCACTTTTGTAATCCAGCCACAGAACACGGAGGTGCTGGTTGGTGAGAGCGTCACCTTGGAGTGCAGTGCCACAGGCCACCCCCTGCCGCAGATCTCCTGGACCAGGGGTGACCGCACCCCCTTGCCCTCTGACCCGCGGGTGAATATCACACCATCCGGTGGCCTTTACATCCAGAACGTGGTCCAAGAGGATGGCGGGGAATATACCTGCTTTGCGTCCAACAGCATTGACAGCGTCCATGCCACTGCCTTCATCATCGTTCAGGGTGGGTGTCGGCCATCAGAACCGGAGACACTTGGCTCTACGCTGTCCTCCCAGGCCAGCCTACTTGCCTACAAGCTAGAGCTTCCGCCCTGTCCGCTTCACTTGCTTTATTTTTGTCCACAGCACTCGCCCCCACTGGGCTAATTACATACATTGGGCAATGGGTTGATTTTTCTGGGCTAGGTAGTACGTACTGTGTGTTCTGGCTGTGGTGTCCCCTCACCTCCAGTACCTGGCCGACAAGACTATGTGTGAGTGTGTTTTATGTGTGTGTGTGCACACACGTGCACGCACATGCTCATGTGTAGTGTGCTGGTCACTACACTGTGCAGACAACTGTGGATACTTCTTTAAGACCAATTTTTCAACATAGGATCCTGGGAGTATGCATAGTTTCACGACCTTGCCATGTATTTCCAGATTGCTTAATTGACCATAAAATGAATTATTCATTTTTAAGCAAATCATGAAGTGGGGCATTTGCTGGAAAGCCTTAAAACCATACAGAAGTGAATATAGAGAAAGTATTTCCTTCCACACGCCTCTCTGATCATTTCCCGCCTCACTGACAATTTATTGTGAATCTATCTTTCTAGATTTCTTTGTATATCCAGGATTGCAACCATGCTACGTTTTTGATTTTCTTTTTTCTTCTTTTACTTTTTGTGAAGTTGTTTCTTTTATAAAAATTGAATTGTACTGGATATGCTAATCTGTAACTTACTTTCTTCACCCAATAATAATTTCTATCATCATACACAATTGTACCAGATAATTTTTTTTTAATCAGGGTCTTACTCTGTCACCTAGGCTAGAATGCAGTGGCATGATCGTGGCTTACCACAATCTTGACCTCCTGGTCTCAGACAATCCTTCTGCCTCAGCCTCCTCAGTCACTGTGACTACAGGGGCATGCCAACACATCTTTTTAATAATTTTTATTTTTTTGTTGTTGTTATAGAGAGAGACAAGGTCTCACTGTGTTGCCCAGGCTGATCTCAAACTCCTGGGCTCAAGTAATCCTCTTGTCCAAAATGCCAGAATTACTGGCATGAGCCACTGTGCCTGGCCTCAGATAACATTTTTTAACGATTTGCAAATATGAATATGGGCTGAAGAATGAGATAAATCTTTTTGAATCAGCCTTGCTGCTGCAAGCCAAACCATGACATTATCCAAGCCCTGTGCACGTTGTCCCTAGTATGAATGAGTACATGATCTTCTGTGCACTTTCTCAGTGTAAGTCTGAGAACACACACCTGTCCCTTGATCTTCTTTCTGCTTTGCTCACATTTTCTCTCCTAGTCTCTTTCCCTTTCTGTCTCCTTGTCATGGGCATGAATCCAGCACTCATGTGTCCTGTCAAGACAGTGGTCACTTTCTGTGTGGCATTTTTGCCCCTTTATTGTTTAAATGGCCTTATCAACTGTTTTTCCTTTGGAAGCTCTTCCTCAGTTCACTGTGACACCGCAGGACAGAGTTGTCATCGAGGGTCAGACAGTAGATTTCCAGTGTGAGGCAAAGGGCAACCCACAGCCGGTCATCGCCTGGACCAAGGGAGGTAAGACGTCAGTCTGGGTTCAGGGGCCCTTGGCCTGCTCAGGTCATGAACACAGGAGTTACTCTGTCTTCACCTCAGCCAGGCACATCCAGCATCTGTGGACAGGGCAAGCGGTGGTGAACTCCAGCGTGACTCAGAGCTGGGGAGAGGGCAGAAGTGTCTGCTCTTGGGGTGTCCCTGGACCATGGCAATTTGTGGACATCGCTGCAGGAGAGATGCTAAGAAGCTCTGTCATTATGAAGGAACTCGGGGTACCTACCTTCTCCTAGATTGTCTCTAGATTCTGCTTTTAATTAGCATCTTTAATGAAATCTAATAGCATGTAGGATAAAATTTTCTGGAAAAAGTCGTGGCCTGTATTAAGACAAACGACTTTTACTCTCACTTTGATCCCAGAGTTCTCATGTCATTTCCCATTTAGTGTTATGACTACTGATCACATTAATTTGGGGGTTATGATCCCACCCACTTTCTTCAGCTGGTAAACCCTGGCATGTTACTAGATAAGGCCTCACCTAGATGGGGAGGCTGGGCCTGAGGGCAGCTACTGCGTCGGCTGGAGGAGGATCCGTGAGCTGGAATCCAGGCAGCATGCCCTTGAGACCTCCTGGCACTCTGGCTTGAACCAAATGACCAGCTCCATCCCTTTGTCATTCTACGGGACCCCATCCAGGGGGGGTCCTGAAGTCTCTGGGGAGGAGGCATGTGACTGAACCTCAAATCTTGGCTGTCCCTTTTCTCAGGCAGTTACTGTGTGGGAACAGGATAGGTGTATCCTCAGAGGTCACGTGTTGGGACCTCACTTGACTCTGTGGCAACTCCAGCCCCTGGTCTTCTTCCCAGTTCTCCCAGCTTGTGATCTGCCCTCTCAGGCTCCGCAGATCCCCATGTCCTCCAGGCTCCTGATGCAGCACTTTTCTCCCTGTTCTCTGCCTCTCTCAGCCCCTTCCTTAGAGAGACTGGGGAGCAGGGAATATATTTTACTTCCCACTGAGTTAGTCACCCACAACGTGTATGTATCATGCCACACAGGCATCATGGCATGCAGGTGTTTCTTCGTGTCTGCTGAGGGAACCAAAGATTTGCTTACAGAGGGCCAGGACCAGATTATTCCAGGTCCTGACCCAGGTGAAGACAAGCTTTGTGATGCTTTCAAATCCAGAGCTAAAGTTCTACATAAGTCTCAAGTGTCCAACTAATTGATGCTTGCCTTTGCAGGGAGCCAGCTCTCAGTGGACCGACGGCACCTTGTCCTGTCATCAGGAACACTCAGGATCTCCGGAGTTGCCCTCCATGATCAGGGCCAGTATGAATGTCAGGCTGTCAACATCATTGGCTCCCAGAAGGTTGTGGCCCACCTGACTGTGCAGCCCAGAGGTAGGCACCAGGTGACCACAGGCTTCATCAGTCTATTCAGATCGGTTATCAGGAAGTGTACATTTTCTGTAGCTGACATTAATATCACTGTTATAAAGCCTTTACTTCTCCCGCTATCTTTTACATATGTCACTGTGTTTGTATCCCGAAGATCTTGTATAATAAGTAATCAGATCTATGTCCCTTTTACTGGTGAAAACATTTGTTTATTTTTAATGATGGTTGTTTTTAACTCAGAAAAGACTGACTTAAAGTAAAATCCATCAGTTATTTTTTTCTGGGTGAATTTATGTCACTTGAGGAAAAGGTTGTTCCTTAACTTCCCTTTCTAGGGTAGATATTTAAGTAGTACACAGTCTATTCAAGTCAGCTCCACCCACACACAGCACCAGATGACATCTCATGTGGTGAAATCCTGGTTCCCTGTTTCCCCTCTCATCTGTTGGCCTCAGGCTTCCCTTAGTCCTTTCTGAATGTCTCCTTTGCCTGTCACCTTCAGTGAGAAGTATCTCAGCTGCCTCATGTTGCTCTTGATAGAATCGGGGTTAAAAGATAAAGAAACCTCTATAAGTGCACAGGTCACTGACACTGACATGAGCCCAGGACTGAGGTGAAGCCTTCTGGACACCTGAGCCTGTGGTGGCAACAATGCAGGTTACACAGAGAGGCTGGTGCTGGGATGTGTGGGCTCCTGATTCTGTGTGCTTCCAGTGAGGGTCTGGAGGAGGCTTGCCTCTTGCCTGTGAGTCTTGTCAATGCGTTGATGACTGACCTGGTGGGGTGGGCTCTAGGTTTCTTGAGATTTCCTTCCCTCCTATGACCTGGCAGGACTGCAGGTCTTATGAGTGAGGGAATGGAGAGAATGTGGGGGTTGGGGTTCCCAGCAAGCTGTGCAGACCTGCCACGTAGTGGCTTCCTTGCTTTCAGGTGAGAAACTCTTCTCTCTGGCTGCATTTCTTTCCTCCAAGATCAGGGTCCTTGGAGTTTGTTTTCCTCAGTGAGCCACATGGCACATGCCCGGGACTGTCCTGCCAGGGTGGTGGGCGGGGGGGAAGACACAGGGCAACCAGCCACATCCCAGGCCCTAGGTTGTCTATCTCTGTCTCTGAGCACAGAGGAGCGTTGCTTACCATTTGCTCCTAGTGCCTGGAAGGTGGGATGGAGAAATCTCTGGGACACTCAGGGTCCCGGTACTCTGTGTAAATGCTTCTGGGAGGCAGCAAAGGGCCCATCTTGTGACTCAGGGCCTCTGGGCAGTGCGGGGAGGCAGGAGGAGATTTTGCTTTTCCAAAATGTTTTGATATAAATGACCCATCTTAGACTCTATCTGTTTGCCTTCTAGTCACCCCGGTATTTGCCAGCATTCCCAGCGACATGACTGTGGAGGTGGGCACCAATGTGCAGCTCCCCTGCAGCTCCCAGGGGGAGCCCGAGCCAGCCATCACCTGGAACAAGGTAGGAAAGAGGATACTCACACCCCAGGCCTCACTCCTGCTGAGGGAAGTGTGATGGGGCCGGGGAGCTGTTAGGTTCGGTGGAGCTGGGGAGCTGTTGGTGTGATGGAGATGGGAGCTGTTAGATGTGATAGAGCCAAGAGCTTTGAGGTGTGGTGGAGCCAGGAGCTGCGAGGTGTGATGGAGCCAGGGAGCTGGTAGGTATGATGGAGCTGAGAGCTGTAAGGTGTGATGGAGCCGGGAGCTGTGAGGTGTGATGGAGCCAGGGGTGGTTAGGTGTGGTGGAACCAGGGAGCTGTTAGCTGTGATGGAGCTGGGAACTGTTAGATGTGATGAAGCCAAGAGCTGTGAGGTGTGGTAGAGCCAGGAGCTGTGAGGTGTGGCGGAGCCGGGGAGCTGTTAGGTGTGATGGAGCCAGAAGTTGTTAGATGTGATGGGGCCAGAAGCTATGAGGTGTGGTGGAGCCGGGGAGCTGTTAGATGTGATGGAGCTGGGGAGCAATTAGGTGCGATGGAGCCAGGGAGCAGCTAGGTGCAGTGGAGCCGAGGAGCTGTTGGGTGTGATGGAGGCGAGAATATAAGGTGCGATGGAGCCAGGGAGTGGCTAGGTGCAGTGGAGTCGGGGAACTCTTGGGTGTCACGGAGCCCAGAGTATAAGGTGCAGTGGAGCCAGGAGCTGTTAGATGTGATAGAGCCAAGAGCTGTTGGGTTAGGTGTGGTGGAGCCGGGAACTGTGAGGTGTGATAGAACTGGGAGCTGTGAGGTGCGGTGGAGGCTGGAGCTGTTAGAGATGTTGGAGTCGAGAGCTTTAGATATGGTGGAGCCTGTTACCTGCTTCTTGAGACTCTGCAGACTTTTCTGCAGCAGAAAAAAAAATAACCAGATCCTTGAAGTAAAATACTCTGAGGGTATTCTTACTAATAAGAAAAAACAAACGGCTCAGCCTGTAATCCCGCGCCTTTGGGAGACTGAGGTGAGTGGATTGCCTGAGCCCGTGGGTTTGAGACCCACCTGGGCAGGCGAGACCTCATCTCTACAATAAAAAAAAAAAATTAGCTGGGCGTGGTAGCGTGCACCTGTAGTTTCAGCTACTTGGAAGGCTGAGGCGGAAGGATCGCCAGAGCCCAACAGGTCGAGGCTGCGGTGGCCGGGAGCGGCCACTGCACTCCAGTCTGGGCGACAGTGAGACTCCAACTCAAACAAAAAAAAAGAAAGAAAAAACAAGCATGGGACATCCTGTTTTTTATAAACCTTTTCAGTGACAAAAATAAAGAAAGATCCTCCTATTAAATTCATGGTCTTATAATTAACAAGGACAGATCTTTGAGGTATTTAACTTTCCCTGGCTGTTTTTGTGAAGCCTAACACGGCAGCGTGAGCAGTATTCACACACCGTGGACGTGCTTCTCTGTGGACTGCTTCCTGGGGGACTGGCCAGCTCATGCAGTCCCCAGGGAAGGAGAGTTGCGGGTGGCAAAGGCCCTTCCTCTGCTGGCTCCCTTGCCCCACCGATGCCGCCTCCCACCTCTCCCTTTCTTCTCTGTGCACTGCCTGGCACCTCTTCCTGCTTCTCCCTTGGTCTGGGGCACCCCCTGTCTTTTCTGTGTCTGCTTCTGAAACCTCTTTTCCATCTCAGCTCAGTGCCTTCTCTCCAGGGATAGTGCCAGGCCTTCCTATAGGCCCTCCCTGCGGTAGTACGGAGCCCAGCGGAGCCATTTGTGCTTCCACCCCAGTCATGGAAAGTCATCCTCACAGTAAGGGGTAGGAAGTCTTTCCCACTGAATCAGCACTGAGAGAGCTGATGACATCTTCCTTGCCAGGTTTGTGTAGATTTGCGCACAGCCTGTGAGAACTCTCCATTTGCAAAGTCCAATCAAATGGCTTGCCCCGCCCTCCACCCTAAGAACAACGACTGCTTCTGTGCCTTATTCCTATTATCATGTGTGTTCTGTTTTGCTCCAGGACGGAGTTCAGGTAACAGAAAGTGGAAAGTTTCACATCAGCCCCGAGGGATTCTTAACGATCAATGATGTTGGCCCCGCTGATGCAGGTCGCTACGAATGTGTGGCCCGGAACACCATTGGGTCTGCTTCTGTGAGCATGGTGCTCAGCGTGAATGGTAAGATTTTTTGTGCTCATGGCTACACAAGACATTCTGCCTCCTGGTATCCAGAAAGAAAACAGACTCCTGGTTTGGGTTCAGGCCAACCAGCTTGGGTGTTGGAATTATTCAGAAGACAAGGCATCCCTGACTCCCAGGTGAAGACACTCCACTGGTGCTCTGCCAGGCCTAGGCCTTGAACCCTTTCCTTCCGCTCTGGCACCTGCAGGCTTCTGTGGCCCATCCATTGGGCAGCGCTCTCCTCATGGATCATCCAAATTTATTTAGATCCAACTAGGAATAATGTCCAGTCATCTTTTGGCAAATTTTATTGCTGTGTAAGATTCTGTACTTCTTTGCTGGATTTCTGTCTCTGCTGGGCATGAATACCCATGTTCCAGGAATGTATTTCAGTGGGAACCTCAGGGGCAGCCCTTTTCCCAAGACCCAGTCAGTAGTTCTAGGCTCATCCTGGCCCTGTGTCTGCATCTGCCCACTTGCACTTTGCCCCTCTGCCACTGGCTGTCCACTGACCTGAGGCTCTCAATGCGTCTCAGTCCTTACAGTAGCCCTAGGCTGTTCTGATCTATCTTTCTTATTACCCAAATCCCATGATGTGTCACTGACACTGCTCCATGCTTCCTTTGGCCACCAAGGTAAAATCCATACTCTTTAATTTTGCATAAAGTCTTCACGGTTTGACTTAAGCCCACATTTCATCAATAGCATGTTTCCTCACTCCAGATCTCTGTTTTCTTGGACTTAGCCATACTCTGAGACCATGCATATCCTACGTAGTCCTTGCCCACACAGAAGTCTGACTTTGCCAGGTACCCAACCCTCTGGCTGTCTTCCCAGCTCCCCACAGACCCCAGCCTCTGAGCCTCCACAGTTGCCACTGTGACCCCATTTTTACCTTTTCCCCTTTCACCGTGACTGGTTTGCCTTTTCTGTGGGACTTGTTAGCACATGAGGACAGTGTCCATTAATTTGTATGGCAAATTCCTCACACAGAACCTTGAACAAGGTAGATATTAACAAATGTGAACCATAGTGGAATTTCTGGAAGACTTTTACTTGAAGGAAAATACTAGGTGACCTTATTTTCTTATTGTATATAGTGTATGAAATGAGTGCAAAGCTAAGTTGATGAAACCTATGACTAAAGAACGGTGGATTTATTCAATTAATATTTATTTTTATGCTTGAAAAATAACGTGTTACTTTAACGTGAATTAGTTGCCTCTGAAATTTTAAAATAATCTCCCACCCATAATTTCATCCCCAAGAAATACCCATTGTTAACATTTTGTTGAATTCCTTTCCTTTAAAAAAAAGTGTAGATAAGCGCTTTTGGATTCTTCTGTGATCATTGCTTAGAGAAAAACAAATTCAACTTAAACCATTGATAATAATGAAATAGTAGAGTCATCAAATTTTGTAAAATCATCTGCCTTATTGTCTACCAATTAACCCAAGAATATCACATTCCAAAATCAGTAAATTCAGGCTCTGAGATGCTATTAAAAACATTGCATTTCTACCTAAGCAAAATTCTTTTCAGCTATTTAAATTATAAATGGGTAAAAATCTCAAATATACAAAAGAGCTAATCAGCTTGCCGAATGTACTTGTTCGTGGCGTGTAAATTGGATTAGTTTTGCCCATCGATAGCTCAGCATGAGTGCACAACATAGTGTAAAATAGGACTTGCGTAAGAGCTTTCTGACTGGTCAGTTTTCACCTGTCACTGCCGACTATTTTTCTGTCTGTTCATTCATTCAACAGATGTCTCCATGTGTTGAACTCTGTTCTAGGCTCTGGGGACTCTACACTGAGCCAGGAGGGCCAGGCTCTTGCCCTCACTGTGGAAAGAGATGAGTGAGAAACAGTTATGAAATGAATGTCACGCTCTAAGGGTGGTTGATCTGTGCAGAATAGAAAGATGAGGGAGGAGCAAGAGGCGGAGGGCTTCTTTTTTGTGGAGGGTGGCCAAGGGAGACTGAGCACATGTGTGTTACATGTTGAGAAGAAGGAAGCCATGTGGAGATGAGGGATGAAGAGTGGCCTGGTCCAGAATCGAGGTGTAGGAACCTGAGGTCAGAAGAAGAAGCTCGATGCCAGGGAGGTGGGGAGAAACCCTGTGCTGGGAGATGGGGCTTGGTAGGGGCTAGTCCCGGGGCCCTGTTGCTGGCTATGCTCTAGAGTCTGGTGTTTGTTCCAGACACGATGGTAAGTCATTGGGAGTGCTGCAAGCCAGCTGCTTTTCTCACAGTTGGCTTTGGCTGTGAGTAAAGGACGACAAGGGGCGTGGTGTGGAGACGGGAAGATGCGAGTCCAGGTGGAGAAGGCGTGCCTGCATCAGCACTGGCAGCATGGAGGCCCTGGTGGAGTTGGGCCCAGGGCATAAGGCCAAGAGCATATCCGACAGGTTGGCCAGCGGCTCACAGAGTGGGCTAACTGCCGGGCTCTGCCTGAGCCATTTGGAGCCATCTACTGAGAGACAGAGGTGGTTGAGAAGCCAGTTTGCGGGAAGAGGAGAAGGAAGAGTTCTGTTTGAACTCAGTGAGGTTGAATAGCCTAGAGTAAGCAGCTGGCTGAAGGAAGAGCTCAGGGATGATGGTGCTAGTCTGAAACATTAAAACCAGGAGATTTTGGTCACTGTGCTCAAGTCTGTAATCCCAGTGATTTGGGAACCCGAGATGGGGATTGCTTGAGGACAGGCATTTGAGACCATCTTGGGCATCATGGTGAGATGTCATCATTACTAAAAAAAGAAAATAAAATTTTAAAAAAAGAAATACTTTAGAAAACTGGGGTTAGGTGAAATATGTGAGAAGAGTCTGCAGATGGACAAAGTGACTAGTCACCGTGGCTGGGGAGTACCAGCAGTCAGAGATCTGGCAGGAGAGGAGGAAACAGCAACAGGACATCCCCCAAGGGGTCCAGTGAGGAGAAGCAAGGGCTGGGATGAAGCCGATTCTGCTCGCCAGACAGGCAGACAGAAGAAGAGAGAGCAAGAGCTGGAGACAGAGAAAAAGGGAAGGAACCTGGGACTGAAAAGGAGTCCTCATGGGCCCGGAGGAAATCAGGAGAAAGCATGTCCCAGTCAGGAGCCCATCTGTCCCTGCCAGGAAGGGGCATGCTCCCTTCAGGAGGGAGCACATCCCCGTCGGGGGGCATAACCCGGTCAGAAAAAGGCACATTCCTGTTAGGAGGGGGCATATCCCTGTCCCAGAGGGCATATGTCCCTGTCAGAAGGAAGCATGTCTCTGCCAGTAGGAGGCATATTTCCTTCTGGAGGAGCTATATTGCTGCCAGTGAGGAGGGGGCATATCCTTGGCGGGAGGGGGTATAGCACTATCAGGAGGGGGCGTATTTATGTGAGGAGAAAGCATATTCCAGTTAGGAGGGAGCACATCCTCATTAGGAGGGGACATATCCCCGTCAGAAGGGGCATATTTCAGTCGTGGCAAGGTACGGTTCTGCCACGACGAGTACGTGTTATCCCAGGAGCCAAGTGATGGAAGCATTTCAGTGAGGTTGTTTTCAAAGTCTCTCAAAAGAGCAAGCATATTGAAGGAAAAAAAAACCCTGTAAGTTTATTGAGATGAATGTCATTGTTGATGTGGCAAGAGCTGTTTCAGTAATTCAAGATAAAAGTTGGTTTAAAAATGAGATTCTTTTATTTAGGAAATTCCAAATGCTGGATGTTACAAAAGTTTTGGGCTTGTTTAAATAAGTAACAAGTGCTGGATGTGTATTCAGGGAACAAGGAATGCCAAGAGGGGATGAGAAAGAAGATAGCGATTTCAGGGGTGACAGGGTAAATTTGTGTGGGGTGTGTTTGTGTTTCTAATGTGGTGTCTGTATATAAAGTGTGATGCATGTGGTATGTGTACAGTGTATGTCTGTATGGTGTGGATAATGTGCTATGTGTGTTGTGTTTGCTGTTTATCTGTGTGTGGTGTGATGTGTGTAATGTTTGTACAGTGTGATGTGTGTGGTATCTGTGGTGTGTGGTGTGTGGTGTGGGTAATATGCTGTGTGTGTGGTATGTGCTTGCATCTGTGTTTGGTGTGATGTGTGTGATGTGTTTGTATATTGTGATGTGTGTATGTGGTATGTTTATGGTGTGTATCCGTATAGTGTGGTGTGTGGGGTGTGTATGATAATGTGCTATATGTATGGCGTGTGTGCTGTTTGTACTGCGTATCTATCTGTGTATGGTGTAACATGTGTGATGCGTTTTGTAGTGTGATGTATGGTGTATGTGCTGTGAATCTGTGTGTGGTGTGATGTGTTTGATGTGTTTGTAGAGTATGATGTGTGAGTGAGTGGTGTGATGTGTGTGATATTTGTACAATGTAGTGTGTGTGATGTGTTTGTGTAGTATGATGTGTGTGTGTGGTGTGATATGTGTGATGTGTGTGCAGTATGTATGTACTGTGTGTGCCGCATACCTGTGTGTGGTGTGGTGTGTGTGATGTGTTTGAGTAGTGTGATATGTGTGTGGTGTGATATGCGTGATGTGTTTGTACAGTGTGATGTGTGTGGCGTGTGTGGGGAGGGAGGGAGCCCTGTGATGCTGTGCCGAGGACAGTGATAGCACTCATTGGGTGAGGCAAGGGGGTGGTCCCGGGCAGCACGTCTGTCTTTGAAGAGGTGAGCAGGTGGGATCCAGGCATCCAAGGAGGCTGTGGCCTCGTGGAAGACCACACTCCACCAGGAATTGAGGTGTCTCCACTGACCCCTGGGCTTGCTGGGTGTTTGCCCAGAGAGGCCTCAGTCAACGCACCCTGCGTGCTGTCATGTTTTGTATCAGAACATCCATGTTTTGTGGTAGAAATTCTTTTTGCCTGTCTTACTAAAGTATTGCATGATTCCAGAAATTAATTTTAGAAGTCTGTAATTTTCATACTGTTTGAAAAACAGCGTCTAGTAGAATTTATAACAAAATAATTTAAACTTTGAAAAATAGAAATAACATTTGGAAAAAACTATGCCCAAAGTCTAAATGATGTAGTGTCTAGACATTGTTTTATGAGTATCTTGTGTAGTGTTTCTTCTGGTAATATGCGACTTTGTGTTTTCCTAGTTCCCGACGTCAGTCGGAATGGAGATCCGTTTGTGGCCACCTCCATTGTGGAAGCCATTGCAACTGTGGACAGAGCTATCAACTCTACCCGAACGCATTTGTTCGACAGGTATTGCACAGCTGTAAACATGCCGACCCTCAGGTCGCTGCCTCCAGTGGGGGAGCCGCTGAAGGGTGTATGAATTCTAGTGCACCATTCTAACCTATTGCTCTGATGAAAATGTTTGACTTAAAAAATCACAAATAACATGGGCATCTGAGCTTGCTGGGAGCTGAGATAAAGGGGGTGATGATGCTTTCCTGGCAGAATTCGACTGTGACTCACAACCAAAATGTGGCTAAAAAATTCCAACTCATTCTTCTAGCTTGTGATGAAATGATTTGGCAAAAACCAAATATTTTTAGTCATGGGTGTATTTGGTCCTGTTGCCGATTCTGAGGCAGTTTCTCTGCATCTTAATTGAAATGCAATGACTGTGATTTTCTCTACTGACTTAATTAACTATTTGTTTTTAGTGTCTTCCGGTTTTTGTCTGTTTGTTTTTTTGTTTTGTTTTGTTGCCTCCCACTTCGGATAAGTAAGGTATAGTACATCATGTTATAGAAAGTAGCTCTAGAAACATTCATAGCAATCATACATTTTGGGACCCTAGTGGCTTTTCTCTTCAGTAATCCGTTTTGTTCTTCCATTTTCCTCCCTAAACTGCCAGCCGTCCTCGTTCCCCAAATGACCTGCTGGCCTTGTTCCGGTATCCGAGGGATCCTTACACGGTCGAACAGGCACGAGCGGGAGAAATATTTGAACGGACATTGCAGCTCATTCAGGAGCACGTGCAGCATGGCCTGATGGTCGACCTGAACGGAACAAGTCAGTGCCCCCGCCTTTCCCTCCCCTCCCTGACCTGAGTCATGGGATCAGACATGCCCAATTAAGTCACATTCCTAGGGAAGAGTTCCAGCATTTTCTGTCCCACTGTGCTTATGAATTAGGAAATTGTTTTCTCACACAGATCTTTAAACATGGCTGTGGCAGTTTCAGCAAGCGGTCACATGAACCCCTTCTGCTGCCTCTACAAAATAAAGCCCACCTGAGAGCCTGTCCTCGCGTCCAGGCTGGCTGAACTTGCTCCTTGTGAGGAATGGCATGCCTCTACCTCCATCCCCTGAGCCCTGTGGCTGTCGCTCCTGAGTCTAATAGAAAACTCCGGGGATGTGAAAACCCATGGTGTGCTCCTTGGGCTAGAGAGGATCTGTGTGTGCAGCCGGTGCCGGGGTGGGCTGTGCCGTCCTTCCTGGCAGGCTGTGACAGTCCAGACCTCCTGTGATAAAGGGAAGCCTTAGCAGGCGAAGCTCAGCGAGGGACATTGTGCCCACAAGATGTGTCGCTGTGTGGCTGTGAGGAGGGATGTTTCTAAAAGGTCTTGGCGTGTTCCTGTGAAACCAGTTGAGGAGACCACCTGGGGCTGGCATGGGGATGGCGTGGGGGGTGTGTGATTCCCTCACTCTGCTCTGGCACTTAGCTATCACCCGGTATAATAAGCGATACCTGTGCGTGTCATGATTATCATTGTGAGTGGTTGTATTGTTGGTGAAAGGGTAGATGACCCTGACTTTGTGGTGTCAGCTGTCTCTTTCAGCAGTGACACGCCCAGCACTGAGACAGTGCAGCAGCGGCCGTCCTTGTGAGATGAGAGGACCACCGTAGCATTGCTTCAGTGTTTTCCGAATTGTCTCCAATGTCACCCTGTGCTTTATGATCAGGGCAAAAGCGATCCTCAACTTTAGTCTGATTCCACAAGGTGGGTCTGAGATGAGAGAGACATGGACATGAGAACTGAGGGTCTTCCCGCCTTGTGAGTGGAGTGGCTGCTCTAAGCCTGTCCTCGTCCTGCCCCTTAGGAGGCCTCATCGGTGCTTAAGCTCTCAAGTACTGGCAAGTCCTGCTTTCTCATGCTGAGGGTGCGCTTGGCCTCCCCTGCCCTCATTGGTGGTAGACTAGGGATGCTCCCACCTGTCTTGCTGAGTGGACTCCAGCTTCACCTCTTGGCATGTTCCTGGGGAGAAACACCAGAACCCACTTCACTTGTCTAGCAAGTATCTGTTGGGCACTTGCTGCTTGCCAGGCACAAGCTGAGGTTGGGATTAGGGGGCACCAACATGAGGGCTCTTTGTGGCTTCCCCCAGCTCCGTCCTAAGTCCCTGGGTAAGTCTCTTTGGTGTGAAGGTTTTCTTGTGTATAGAGGATGAAATGGAAGCTGCTGGATGTAATTTCCTGCTACTTCCTCCCTTTCTTCATTTAGGGTCGAGTTCAGATCTTTAAACATGACTGTGGCAGCCTCACCAGGCAGGTCCCATGAACTTTTGCTGCTGCCACTACAAAATAAAGCCCACCTGGAAACCCCTGCTCGAGTTCAGGCTGTGGTGAAGTTTCTCCTTGTAAGGAATTGCATGCCATTGCATATTAATTCATGGAAACCTTGAAAGGCAAAAAGAAAAAAAGTAGAATTACCCCCAACAAAGGGAAATTATTTTATAGCTTTGTGTTTTACCTAAGCAACAGTAAATACAATGCAGTACAGCTAAACATCAACTGCTTGTGAATGCTACCCATGCGAGTACACATTGCTGTATTCATTCATTCCACATACTTGTCTGCGCACACTCTCTCTGCCAGTTATAATCCCAGCAACAAATGCAAGAAATAAAAATCTCAGCCCTTAGAGAGCCCCCATTTCAGGGAAAGGCGGACTATAGCCCAGGAGGAGGTCAGTGCACACAGTCAGTTGCGGGCAGTGATGCAGAGAGAGAGACAGAAGGAGGCGAGTGGAGCCCTGGTGGGATTGCCATGATGCATTTTCATGGGTGAAGTTGACATTTGAACAGGGACCCCACAAGAGCCAAGGGGCCTTGCAGCATCCGCGGGGACAGTGAATACTCATGCTCCACGGTGAGGCCAAGCCTGAACCCTGAGGAACAGCAGATGGGTCAGTGTGACTGGAAGGGGAAGGGAGCATAGAGTCTCGGGGTATCCAGCCAGAAAGGACCTCACAGGGATATGAGGACTTGGCATTTGCTCCGCATGAGAAAGAAGTCATAGTGTTTCCTGCAGAGAAGTCACAATGCTTGAGGCTTTGGAAGCCTCAGACTGGGTGATGGTCCTGCCCTGGGTGAGGGCAGATGCCGGAATCCAGCCCTGGGCAGCCGAGTGCAGGAGCCTTGTGTGCCTGCTCTTTCCTCCAGGACTCATCTGCCTCTAAACCTGTGGTCAAGGCTGTGGAAAAAAGTGAGCATGCTCGAAGAAAGCCGGACACCAGCCACCAGGCCCCCGGACGCTTACAAGGAAGCGGTTTTCTTAATGGCTGTCCACTTTCCTGGCTTTTGGGCTGTGTAAGGTTGGGGATTTTCTGGGGCTTCCTAAGAGTAACTGAAAATAGGCCAGGCATTTCAGCTGCGATGTTTTAGCCCCAGTGAGGCAAGTGCCACTATGTGTCACACGAGATGGGGTGGGTAGTCTGCCATGTGGGAGGCCAGCTGTGTTCTCCACACAGACTCGACATGCCAGGGAGGTGCCTCTGATGGTTTCTCCAGCCCCAACGCAGATGAGAACCCTCCAGTTCTCATCTGCGTTCTTTCATGGATATTTGGACACCAGCCCCCATAAGACAGTGCTGTCTCCTGCTTCTTTTCAAGGTGTACTGCGCAGTGGCAGCCAGGCAGGGGCTGGGGGTGCTTCAGAAAGATGAGGCAATCATGGCCCAGGTTTCAGCACATGCGTTGCGCACCTATGTGTTAGTGTGGGTCTGTGTGCCTGTGCATATGAGTGCATGTATGTGTGAGTGTGCGCACGTGACTGTGTTAGAGTGAGCCTGTGATTATGTGCACATGTATACACATGTGGTCATTTGTGTGTGTCTGTGTGAATTAGTGTCTGCACATGAGAGTGTGTTCATATTTCTGCATGTGTATGAGGGAGTGAGTGGGCACACAAGTGTTTAAGTTGGTCTGTGTGTGAGCATGTCCTTATGCATGTGAGTGTGTGTGCATATGTGTAGCTTTTCAGCAGGCCCTATGGTAGACAAGAGGCTAAGAGAAAACTAAAGGCCTGGGATGTGTGAATATTTGGGGAGGCAGCCTGGGCAAACAGAAGCCTGAGCGTGCTGGTCCCAGGACTTCATGAGGTTGGACCAGGAGCTGTGATGAGAAAACTCTGTGTCACCCATGGGAGTAATGTCCCAACTGACGAGTTGGGAACTGCTTCTGTAGCTCATGGCAAAGACGGAAGGTGTTTGAGCAAGAAGGTGTGCTGGCTGGAGCCTGCACCAGACCCTTGGAAGGACATGTCCACAGCGGCGAGGGCATGTCCATGGAGGGCTCTGCAGTTAGGAGGCTCTTCTAGAATGTGTCCTGGGATTCTACCTTATGATGAAACAGAAGGTATAGATCCTGGGAATATTTTGGAAGCATCGTAAATGAAAGTGGCAGTTGATTGGACTTTGGGCAAGGGAGCATCAAACCTCAAAGCCATCAGAGGTGTCTAATGATAGGTGTTGGGAAAATGTGAGCTCTGCAGTGTGGCGAGGCTGATAACGTTTGATCATTTGAGTTGTATTTACATCTGCTATGTGGCACTGCCTACAGTGAAGTGGAAAACGCATAAGCCTTGCTTGCTGAACGTCAGGGGGGCTCCATCACATGGGCGTCTCCCAGGTGTGAGAGTCGACAGGTGGACCCACACAGCAGGAGGCTGAGGGAGCATCTGTGCTCAGGGCTGGCGGAGGGGGAGGAGCAGTTCTACCAAATAGGAGGTGAGAGGGTTTCCATCAGAAGAGCTCCCTGAGCCGCACCTGTCAGGCTGGGGGAGATGGCACGGCGTCAGCTGGGAAATGCTGGGAGCCGGGCTATCGCACTTTTTCCAGAGGGTCAAGTCCTGCCCTGTGCTCCCTGTTGCAGGCTACCACTACAATGACCTGGTGTCTCCGCAGTACCTGAACCTCATCGCAAATCTTTCGGGCTGCACTGCCCATCGGCGCGTGAACAACTGCTCAGACATGTGCTTCCACCAGAAGTTCCGGACACACGACGGCACGTGCAACAACCTCCAGCACCCCATGTGGGGCGCCTCGCTGACCGCGTTCGAGCGGCTGCTGAAGTCCGTGTATGAAAACGGGTTCAACACCCCCCGCGGCATCAACCCCCACCGACTGTACAACGGGCATGCCCTGCCCATGCCCCGCCTGGTGTCCACAGCCCTGATCGGGACGGAGGCCATCACGCCCGACGGGCAGTTCACCCACATGCTGATGCAGTGGGGCCAGTTTCTGGACCACGACCTGGACTCCACAGTGGTGGCCCTGAGCCAGGCACGCTTCTCCGACGGGCAGCACTGCAGCTCTGTGTGCAGCAGCGACCCCCCCTGCTTCTCCGTCATGATCCCCCCCAACGACCCCCGGGTCCGGAGCGGGGCGCGCTGCATGTTCTTCGTTCGGTCCAGCCCCGTGTGCGGCAGCGGCATGACGTCGCTGCTCATGAACTCCGTGTACCCACGGGAGCAGATCAACCAGCTCACGTCCTACATCGACGCGTCCAATGTGTATGGGAGCACGGACCACGAGGCCCGGGGCATCCGCGACCTGGCCAGCCACCGGGGCCTCCTGAGGCAGGGCATCGTGCAGCGATCCGGGAAGCCGCTGCTGCCCTTTGCCACGGGACCACCCACCGAGTGCATGCGGGATGAGAATGAGAGCCCCATCCCCTGCTTCCTGGCTGGGGACCACCGTGCCAACGAGCAGCTGGGCCTGACCAGCATGCACACGCTGTGGTTCCGTGAGCACAACCGCATCGCTGCAGAGCTGCTCAAGCTGAACCCGCACTGGGACGGTGACACCATCTACTATGAGACGCGGAAGATTGTGGGCGCGGAGATTCAGCACATCACCTACCAGCACTGGCTCCCAAAGGTCCTGGGGGAGGTGGGCATGAAGATGTTGGGGGAGTACAGGGGCTACGACCCCGGCGTCAACGCTGGCATCTTCAACGCCTTTGCCACAGCTGCCTTCCGCTTTGGCCACACGCTCGTCCACCCGCTGCTCTACCGGCTGGATGAGAACTTCGAGCCCATTGCGCAAGGCCACATCCCCCTCCACAAGGCCTTCTTCTCGCCCTTCCGGATTGTGAATGAGGGGGGCATCGACCCGCTTCTCAGGGGTCTGTTCGGGGTGGCAGGGAAGATGCGCGTGCCCTCACAACTGCTGAACACAGAGCTCACAGAGCGACTGTTCTCCATGGCACACACGGTGGCCCTGGACCTGGCCGCCATCAACATCCAGCGCGGCCGGGACCACGGCATCCCGCCCTATCATGACTACAGGGTCTACTGCAACCTGTCGGCAGCCCACACGTTCGAGGACCTGAAAAACGAGATAAAAAACCCCGAAATCCGGGAGAAGCTGAAAAGGTGAGCGGGTGGGACCATGAAGTGACGGCTTGCACGCCTAGGCCCAGGGTGACCCAAGTCATGGGGTGTGGTGGTGGAATTTGTCTGTGTGTGGGAGGCTTCGTTGTGAAGCGGTCAGATAAAATACGTTGATGAAGGTGAGGACTGAGTAGCAGGTGGCCTTTGGTGACTGTGCTGCTGCCAGGGATGGGTGCATAGCCAGGCACAGCTGGTTAAGGCCACCTCTGTGTCCTGAACTCTGTTCCTGAGATGAGCCTGACTGAGCTGCAGTGAGTTTTCAGCTGGGATGTGAGTTCTGCTTCTCTGGCATGGACTTGTTTGAGAGGAAAGCACAGGAATTGAGACTGTGGCTGTTTGGAGCTTCAGGGAAGAGGTTCTGGCTCTCATATCAGGAGCAAAGGGAGAGGCAGAGCTTGGTATTGGCAGACAGAGCCTTCAGAACAATCTCCCCTGAGGTTTGACTTCTAGTCTCTCCCCGCACCCACCTTGTTACCCAGACCCAGGCTGTGTCACCCCTGCCAGTGGCCACCGCTTTGGTGTGGGCTTCCGAGCCACAGCTTTGATCGTTCTGGGAGCAGATCTCATTGGCTTGCCTGGATGGCCATGCAGGAGGGTATCATCTCTTCTAAGAGAAAGGCTGTCAGCAACAGCAGGGCACCTGGGACCACCTGGGACTGCCAAATGACAAAGACTCGCAGGACATGCAGAGACCCAGTGCTGCCCAGGCAGTAGGGGTCTCCGGTCAGGTCAGGGCTCCCTCCCTGGCATCCTCTGCCACAGTCCAAGTTTTTAACTTTGAAATTAGACTTTCAGAGTTCTCCACATTGTAGATGTTCGGGGGCTCTCCTTTCTTTGGAGTTCACGTTTGTCCTGTGCTCATTAGCTGTTTTTTTTTTTTCACACCTTACATCTACCACTTCATTTGCATTTGGTATTTTAGGAAAATAAAAACAGTTACTCATCAGTGTTTTCCCATTGTGAGCCTTCATCGTTCTTGGATTTATGAATTAATTTGGCCGGTCAAGGTGTATTTAAGACTTGTTCATTTCCATTGTTTTAAAAAGAAAAAGAAAACTTTCTTAAGACTCACGTCCCATATTTTCTGGATTCCCTCCAGTTGACTCTCGAGTTACTTAACACCAAAGTGAAGACATGCTCTGTTAGGATTTGGTCTGTGCCTTTGGAAGAAAAGTGATTTTTACTTGTAATTTATTGCAAGCTAAGAATAAGTGAACATTATGTCCTACTGGGTTTACTCTGTTTCCGTGTTCATTTAAATAATGGTGTTAAATTCCTGGCTCTCAGAAATGTGCACCCACCCCACCAGCACAGTGTAGTTTTTGTCACAGTTTTGCTTAATTAGGATTTATGTGAACTGTCTGTGTTTTTCTGTGCTTACATGTCCTTCTTTGTTCTCATCCACACTGACATGGTTTGCTTTCCCAGTTGAGTCTCCCTTTTGCCAGCCTTATTTCAAAACAGTTCAGAGGAACAAGGCATCCACTCAGTACTGCTGGTGGGTCAAGGCCTTGGGACATGCTAGACCCCAGGCATAGAACTACAGACATTTACCCACATTCCCAGTCCCTCATTTATTTTTTTAATCTCAACACTTGACTGACTAAGAGGGCAAATGAGACATAAACACGAGGAGCTAAGTGATGCGGAAGGCAGATTATCTTCAGCAGACCTTAGGGATTACACAGCTTTCATCTGCTTTATTGGCACCCAGTTGAAGGTGTGCGTTTCAGGGTAGCATGGCAAGTTGAGGGCCTGGGGTCAGCTCATGCCTGGCACTGTCCCCCCGTACCCCTGAAGCCAAGTGACATCCCAGATCTGCAAGGTTCTTTCCGTGGAAGGAATGGAGGTGGAGGCTTCAGATTCCTGTTTTCATCCCAACATGCCTGAAGAATGTGATCACTCCAATCCCCACAGTGGTGGAACCCTTCCAGAAGTGGCAGGTGGCAGAAAGAGAGAGGGAGGCGCCCAGGAGCAGGGGCCATCTGGGAGCAGGTGCATTTATGGCACAAATGATGACTCCGGATCAGGGTCCTCCTGACCAGGTTTACTCCCAGGGAATCTTACAGCTGGAAGTTCAGCTTGAGTTTCATGGAATTTAGAAGAAAATGCATACAGTTTGTCCTTTGAAAGTCTCATTGCTGGTTTGAGTAACATTGCATTTGTTCTGTCGGCAAGACAAACAGCCACTGAGGGACACAGCCCTGTGTGCATCTTCATTGTGCCTCTCTTGCTCTCTCACGCTATCTCGATTGTAGGGGTCAGTCTAAGGTTGCTGATTTGAGCTTTGTTGAAAAGGGCAATCGGATTGATAGAACGTTTGCTTTTAAAAAATCTAGTTGGGTTTTGAATAGCAGTTGAAACTAAGACATCACCTGTTGCCCAGTCGAGTCTTAAGATTAGATAATGATCTGTAGTATAAGTTGTCAAGCCTTTGCTTGTAAGCATATATTTCCAAGGAATTAGAAGAAAATGATGAAAATGTTTGTCCTTGAACATTTAAATCTTAATCTTCTGCCATATCCATGCCTAACAAATAATTTCTTGATGGCAGATATATTTTCAATGTATGACAAAATTTTATTCTTTTAAAAGTATGTCTGTAGCTATATAGAATTTATTGTTCATATATTTATAGAAAAATATTGGAAGTGTATGCACTATAATGTTAAGTGTAGTTATCCCTGAATAGAAGGAAAAAGTATGGCTTCTTTTTTTGTTTGTTTTTCTAGCTTTTCTAAATTTTTTACAGTAAGTGAATATATATACAAATAAATATGTGTAATTAATATGTATGTAACAGAAAGCACAAAAAAATTCTTTAAATACATTCTATAATTGATAGATACTTCAAAGAAATGAAGGTAAATTTTCTTTGTTAAGGGAAAGTCTAATGTAAAACAGTGCCAGAAAACACAGAGGACTTTTCCTGTACTTGCTGTGTTATTTTTTCCACAACTCTGTTAGGTAGACTTAAGCTTCTGCTTCTTTGTTTGAGGTTGTATGGCTCCACACTCAACATCGACCTGTTTCCAGCCCTCATGGTGGAAGACTTGGTTCCCGGCAGCCGGCTGGGGCCCACCCTCATGTGCCTACTCAGCACACAGTTCAAGCGCCTGCGAGACGGAGACAGGTAACAAGGCACATGCGTGCAGGAAGGAGAGTCGCTCTCAAACTCGCCTCTCCAGGGACTCGGGGAAGGGAGAGCTCATCCGTGCCGAGAATGAAGGCAGGGTCTCAACGCCTGTGTCATTGGTGCACTCCTTTGGGTGTGCCCATCGCCACAGCGATAGAAGAGAACCACACCAGGTTCAAAGATGCTTCCCTGTCCCTTCACTTAGTAAGGATCTTTCCATTTCTGGAAACCTGATGGACGGTCCATGTAGCTAAATCCCAGGGGATGGTAGGGACGTTTGGACTCTGGCAAGACCATGGTTTGCTTTTTAGTCCAGCATGACTACTTCAGTTTAATATCTTGGTAAGCTGGACCCTACCTGCTGCTCGGTGATTCACCACGTAGCTGCCTACCATGTCCATTTACACAGTTTCCATTCTTCTTTGTTGCTAGTTGGAAGAGCTAGCACCCTTTTTTCTCCTGGGTTCTTGGTTTTTGTTTTTTGAGGAGGAATCACGAGCAATATCTGAGTAGGTTTGTAAGTGATAGCTTGTTGAAAGAAGTGATTTCTGTGTCCTTGGTGAACCTAGGCAGAGGGATGTTTTCACTGAGCTCCCTATTACCTGTGAGTCCTCCTGCTCATCTCTGATCCTGCTCTCTTGGGGAATCCAGGTTGTGGTATGAGAACCCAGGGGTGTTCTCCCCCGCCCAGCTGACGCAGATTAAGCAGACATCCTTGGCCAGGATCCTGTGTGACAACTCCGACAACATCACCCGTGTGCAGGGCGACGTGTTCAAGGTGGCGGAGTTCCCTCACGGCTACGGCAGTTGTGAGGAGATCCCCAGGGTCGACCTCAGGGTGTGGCAGGACTGCTGTGAAGGTGTGTGCAGGCATCCCTATTGCTGGTTCATCCTCTTCACCAGTTTGGGGGGATGCCTCGTACGTGTGCAGTTACTTGCAGGTGTGTTCATCATCGTGGAGCTTGGAGACAAGATATTTAGCTGTGGGAGGTGTGTTGAATTATACTATATACATCCTGAGGTAAACCGTGGAGCCAAAAATATAAATAAATAAATAAGAACTAAGATTTTGAGGACTTTGTAGCGACGTGGATAGTACTCATAACTAAAATCCTATGTGAAAGAAACAGAAAACCAAACTTTAATAAGAGTGTTCCTAACGTTTCTTTAAAACCTAATGCATGTTTACGTGTCAGTACTTGTGTGTTAGCCTATGTAGTCTGTATCTGTATTAAAGGTGGAAGTCAACATAGGAAAGAAGCGTGTCAGGTTTATCAGATCTCCAAAGCATTGTTATGTGTTTCTGAATACCTCAATAATGTGCATGACTGAGAAAGGAGTTACAAAATGTCCTGTGAAGGAGGGAGAAGTGTCCTGCACCCTCGTGGCCAGGGAAAAACTACCCTCCAGCTGCAGGGCTCCCTGCCGTCTGTCCTGCCCATGTGACCTGCCATGTCCAGCATGTCTTGCCTGCAGAGTCCCCATCAGCTGCCTGCTCCAACGGTTTCCAAGGCTGAGCTCCCCTTTGCATTCCTAGATCCCACTCTTGGTTAATCTCGACTTGCATTTTGTGATTCAAACATCATTTTGGCTTTATTCAAACTGATCGGAGCACCACAGAATACTGGAGCCAGGGGATGCTCAGAACCCAAGTTGTAGAGCATGATGTCTTGTGAGGAAAACGGTCCAGCAGGGTGGAGTGACTCTCGGGCCACATGCATGGTTAGAGTGAGGGACCAGACCCTGGCCTTGCCCGTACTTTGTGGACCCTAGCGTGTATGTGCACACTTAGTAGTTTGAGGTGAGACACAAAGGTCAGAACCTATAGTTATTTTCTCTCCCACCTCATTTTTTCCTGAAGTAATACTTCTGGCCCAAATGTTATTTGATTTAGTAAGTGTTGAAATCTGAAGAGTTGAGCTGTTTTAAACAGCTTCTTCTAAGAGAGTGTGTATGTGTCAGTGTAGTATGAGTGTGTTTGTGGTGTATGATCAGCTTTTAAATCTGCCTCCCCTTCTGTCTTCTCTCCTTCTTGTTCTCTTTCTCTCTCACCATGCGTGCACACATGTATACACACACACACACACACACACACACACACACACATACTTACATGGATGTATATGTGGTAGGAACATTCACATAAGAAATAGAAACACATCTGCTACCCACCCAATTTTCCAAGTCCTGTTTGTTCTTGTTATCATATCTGTTGGAAACCTGTATCTGGTTTTATTTTGTTTTTGTTTCATATTCTCACTGTTTTAATTCAAAAGGCTTTTCTACAAGCACGGCAGAAAATTTACTCTGTTTGCAGAAGCTTTTCCTCTTGAAAATCATTTGGAAAAGCTGGTTCTTATTCTCAGTTACAAAGCCTCCATCTTCTTATAATTTGACCAGACTCTCTGTAGCCACTGAGGAAAGAGCAGATCCCAATTTTCTGTTCTTTTGCCCAGAAAATCCAGAATCTTTTAAGACTTCATCTTCGAAGCCAGTCTGTGTCTGGACATGGCTGCATCTGCAGGTCAACTGCTTGGTTTCCTGGGTCACCTAGGTCATAGTTCCTTAAAGGTGCCATAACCTTTCTTGTTGGCACACTGTAAGCCTCATTAGTGTCTGAGAAATTGTACTTAATCTCTTCTAAGTTTAAGCCATCCTCTGCTGACATGTTTCTTGTGCTTTTATTTTAGACTGTAGGACCAGGGGACAATTCAATGCCTTTTCATATCACTTCCGAGGCAGACGGTCTCTTGAATTCAGCTACGAGGAAGATAAACCCATAAAGAAAACAAGACCACGAAAAATACTGAGGTATGGTCGTCTCTGAGGCCAGACTGCATGCCGAGTTGTCTTCCTGTTGTGACGTCTAGCAGTAGAGTCACTGTCCCGATGTCAGGGTTGTGCCACCACTGGTGAGCAAGAGCAAGGACCTGGCAGGGACATCCCAGGGCTCTGAAGGAGGGGCCACTCCTGCTGGGCTTCCCTCCCAGAACTCCCTGCTGGAGGAGGGCTGCTCACTCGGGAAATGCAGACTTGAGCTCGTGTGAAACGAAAGCAGTCATAACCTGCCGAGATTAGATTTTGCTTCTTCTCCTTCCTCGCCCCTCATGACAGTGTTGGGAAACATGGAAAGCATTTCAGCAACGTCACATCGGCCTTCAGCATGCACTCAAATGGACCAGGGACCAATGACTTCAAGGAGTTTGTTGTGGAAATGCAGAAGACCATCACAGACCTCAGAAAACAGGTAATGTCTGGCCTGAGGGCTCACATCCCGAATGTACTCAGCAGCTCTGGTCTGCCCATGTGCTTAAGCACAGGCGACTGCAGCTGCAGACACTACCATAACCCCCTTGAGACCCTCTTCCCAGAGCCTCTGGGAATGGCATTTCTGCATGCTGGGTGGTCCTGTAGCTTGTCTCTGGCTGGACCACATGGAGCTGTCGTCCTTGGGTTTCCCAGTGGATCAGGGACACCCAGGCAGTGAGTAATCTGTGCCATGGATGGGGGACTGCCAACAAGGGGCCTTGCCAGAGGAAACTGAGGATAAGGGAACTGTGGGAGAATTCAGACTCGGAGTCCTTTTCTTAAGCCACTGCTTAAGGAATAATCCTTAAATAACTGTTGCCAGAGAATGGGACCTCGCATTTCCAGCTCAGCACTGCACATACTCACCAGGTCTCTCTGGTGTGAGCAAGGTCCTGGCATCTGTTTGGGGCAACAGGGATTTTCAACCTGGGCTCTTGGCGGAGGCTCTGTAGAAGACCTGCCAAAAATGAATCATCTCCCTCCCTCCCATCCAGGGAGCTGATTCCTGCTTTCTCTAGTGCCTGTGTTGAGGTTACCTGTGTGAAGACTGAGGCCTAAAGCTAAATAAAAGAAGCGTGTACCCCATGGTAGGGTATTGACCAGATCCTAGGAGGTGCATGGCTCGTGGTACCTGTGGTGCCTTGAACCTGGATATGCAGCCCCGTCCACTCACAGGATCCTTGTGGCTGTGGAAGGGGCTTTGGTCATCTACTGTAGCCACAGGTCCACCTCCAGCCCAGCGGGAGGTGTTCCAGCTGCTTCTGTGTCTTCTCCCAGTCCTTCTGCCTCTGCAGTCTAAAGACCAGGTCTGAGTTCCCTCAGCAGCGCCGGTAGACAGCTTGCCGCACCTCACTCAGCTTCACCTGGCCCTGTGCAGGCACCAGGCGAGAAAGAAGCAGAGACAAACCCAGTCAGACCCTCCAGGACTATGCTGGGAGTTGGGGGGCAGGCCAAGAGTTCCAAGGCTGATCAGGGCAGGCTGTGTGGAAAAGTGACCCTGGAGAGCCTGACAGACCATTGAGGGACATGTTGGGGACTCCAGAGCAAAGGCAGAGGGGGACAGTGTCTGCTAATGAAAGTGCACTGTGCCCACCCACTGTTCTAAATGCAGGCAGGCTGCCTTCCCACCCCATCGCATTGATGCTGTCTGTGGCTCTGTGACTTCTTTGCTGCCCTGGGCTGCAACTCTAGGCCTGAGACATGCAGATTGTTCACTGTGACCTTCACAGCCAGCTGCAGCTCAGTGGATGTTTGCGATCTGTGGCCATGTCCCTTGCATTCTTGGGTGACCACTGGCATCCACACAGATCTGTGCATTGACCCTTTTGACCACCGAGGCTCATGTGGGTCCAGCTTCATCAAGGCTTCTCTCTGACTGTGAGTTGAAGCAGAACAGTCACAACCATGGAGATGACTTCCCCTAGCCCAAGGGCCTCTGCAGGGCAAACAGGCCAGGCTGCCACTCCTGAGCGCTCTCTGGCCCTGGGCTGCTGCTGCTCCTGGGGCCTGAGGGACCCTTTCTCTTTGTCTTCGTCATTTCAACTGGAACGTTCTAACATTTGTAACGTAAATACCAATTATACTAACAAATGGACTCATGCAGGAAAGAGGGTTTTCATGTAGAAGCCATATCTAAGATATTTTCTGAGGTGAATAGCTGTTGGGCTAATGAAATCTTAGGTGACCAGCTGTCGTCATAAAATGCAGAGGGGATGTGAGGCCATTGCCTTTAACTGCATGACATTTGCACAGGCAAGATGCTCTGCTCTTGCTAGGTTGGGGATCATATGTTTATGGCCGACAGGAAATCAAAGCAGATATTTTCACGGAAATGAACAGTAGGAGGTTTAAGTTATTCATGGCCATTAACACCCATCGTCGAAGTAGACGGCTTTACCTATGGCTGAATGTGGTTTATGAGAAGGTTTATGAGAAGACTCGGGGTGTCCATGATAAATAATTTCCATCCACTTCAGGTTTTGTCCACAGTTAGTTTTGGTTCCATTACAAGGAATAGAAATCCCAAAATAAGAACAGTTTTACTTCATGTGAGTCTGAGGGAGTTGATCCAGAGCTGTCAGGCCTCCCACATGGGCATCCTCTACTTCTAAGGTTACCTCGTGGCCTGAGGATTTTCAGCCACCATCACTGTCTGTGTTCCCCTGACAAGATGCGGGAGAGGGTATGAGGAAAGAGGCCTCTCTCAGAGGCACGTCCCTGGGGATCACGTGGTCATGCCTGGCCTCCAGAGCGATTGTGACTGGTGATCTTTACCTGGGGTATCAGACATCTAACTAAAAATCAGCGGTTTTGTTACTATAAGGGCAAGGAAAACTGGATACTGGGGGTTGTTGGTCATAATCATTCATTCCTTTTTGTCATCTTGGTGGATTCTTGTTCTCACAGACCTTTGAGAATATCTCCTTCGTTTGTCTACAAGGCTTTTCTTGGACAGTGCAGTGGTGGAACCATCGTGTCACGGAGCTTTTGGACAGCTGTCCCCTGACTAATAAGTACATTGGAGATTTTATGACAGTTCTTCAGAAATACTCCTGTCAAGCATTGTTCATTTTAAGGCATCATTTCAGGCTTAGGAACACCCTAAGAGCGAAACTGTTACTCTGACGTGCCCAGAGACTGTTCTTTGCTTTGCTGCAGATAAAGAAACTTGAATCACGGCTCAGTACTACAGAGTGTGTGGATGCCAGCGGCGAATCTCATGTCAACAATGCAAAATGGAAAAAAGATGCATGCACCATTTGTGAATGCAAAGTGAGTACAGGGAGGCTGTTTTTACACCCGAAGGTAAATGTAAGGATGAGAGCCATGTGTGACACCCAGATGGGCGGCCCGCTGTCAGGACCAGGCTCCTCCCACCTGTTCTGGCATCCATCCACTTTTCACTCCCAGAAGCACCAGACGAGCACAGCTGTGCCCAAAGAGGAGTCACATGTGGGCACAGAACCTCATCGTGGTCCTCCCTCAGAGGGTGGGCAACTCCCACTCTGGTCAGGGCCACTTGGGCATGGCAGCAGAACATTCACACCATAAAAACCCACAGATGTGGCAGAGAGCCAGTGGTTAAGCATTTGCCTGTCTGGGGCCGGGGGTGTTAGAGAGGTTGGTGAGGAACTGTTCCTACCTCGGACAAGGGGACAGGTGACAGGTGGTGGATACCTGAGTGCTAGCAGTAAGCACGTCTGGCTGCAGCCAGTTCCAATGGGAAACTCAGCACAGAGTATGAGCAGGCAGGATGACAAGGACGGGACTATTCTGGGGCACCTCTAGTACCTTGGACATAGGGAGAGCGCATGCCAGGGTCCCTGGGCTGAGCTGGCTTGAAAGGACAGACCAGGGTTGAGCAGAACCCGGTCCCCACTTTCCTCTGGCCCTGCCGTGCTTCCCAACAATGTCCACAGACACAGTCTGAGGGGGCCCAGGTGTGAGACAGAAGAGAGTCCCCAGCCCGTGGACCTGGGCCCTCCTGGAATGGGAGGATGATGGTTATAGACAGCAGAGGGTGGAGACGTGAGACTTAGGGGTAAGTGGGTGGGTTAGCACTAACTCTTGCATCTGTAACTGTGACATCAGCAGAGAGCCATTCCCGTATTGCAAAAATCCATGGAAGGGGAGACCCATGCACACAGGGAAGGTGGCTCACGGCAAGGCCAGGGACCCAGGTTGCGGCTCAACATGCTGCCAGGCCTGACAGTCATCCTGCAGTTGACAGGGCTATGCTTGTGTCTCTCCTCCAGGATGGGCAGGTCACCTGCTTTGTGGAAGCATGCCAGCCTGCTGCTTGCTCTGCACCTGTGAAAATCAAAGGGGCCTGCTGTCCTGTCTGCCTAAAGAAGCCCACGGGGGAGAAGCCTTAGGCTCTCGTGAGGCTCCGTGGAGTGTGTCTGCTCCGCCACCGTGAGACCAGGTGGCCGATGCGGGTAGCTGCAGACCAGGAAACACCCAGAACTCAAGACATTTCACGACAACGTCCAGCTGTTGCTGTTACAGAACGGAGCACAGGAGGCTTCTGACCGAGTTCACTGAGAAGGAAACAGCAGATGCGTGGAAAGAAAACAGACACGAGGCCTGGCTTCATGTTAGATTTCTCAGGTTTTTATTTAATTCTTTTAAAATGAAAAATTGGTGCTAATATTAAATTGCACGGTTGAATCATTTAGGCTCCTAAATTGATTTTGCCTAATGCCACCCTTTCTTTCTAAATAAAGCAGGATACCTCTAAATGTCGTCCTGCCTGGCTCTCGTGCTAGGAGCTTGCAGACCTGTTGCCCACAGGTGGCCAGAGGGGGCTTGCCGAAGTCGGGGTGACCCACAGGCTACATGTAAAAAGAAAATGGGTGTTTGGCAGACATTGCAGAATCTTTCATGCAAGTGTTCACGGGGACACAGTTTGGTGGTGCAGTGCAGGCCTCAGCCCTCCCAGGGAATCTTTGGCTCCTCCTCTGGGCTCTCTGTGACATTTCACAGCTTGTCAGCATCTGACCACAAAGCGAGCATCCCCTGCTTGAAGCAGCTGCACATCCTGCGACTGTCTCAGCTCCTTCCTTCTACGTGCTGACGATGACATTAACAGGCCACACTTAGAAGCAGGTTTGCTTTCACTTGTAACTTGCAAACATACCGCCTGGTTGTGAACTGAATGTGAACGTCCCTTCATCCCATCTTGTATCTGCCAATACCTACTGACGACCGACGTGTGCGTTGACAAGACTGGGATCGTGGCCCTGGCTTTTTTTATATCCTGGAGGCTGTTCCCAGCTGATCGTGGAGTGCTCGAGTCGCTTCCCAGGGATTCTCCAGTGGGCAAGAGGAATTCAAATGCTGGGAGCTTTCTAACTTCAGGTGTGAGTGCATTAAAAAAAAAATGAATCCCTATACCTCATTTGTATTTTTAAAATGCATGATGTTTTATGAAAATTTGCCCATTTTTAGGTATTAGAGGTGACAGAAAAACCATTTCCACTATGCAAAAATCATCAGTGAAAAGCAACTATGATACCTCATGGTCTCTCTCTTTTTAACTGACCGAAGTCTTCCATTTTGTTCTAAATACAAAGTGCTCTGTGTTCCGAGAAGTGTTTCCCTGAACATGCAAGTCCAGTTCAACGTATTGACTTGGTGCCCACTGTGCGCCAGGCATGGTGCCAGGCACACATGACGCATAAGCACAGGTACCACCTACCCTCAGAGAGTCCCTAGCCAAGGTGGTGAAAGAGGGAGACCCTGAGGTCACAGGCAGTTTCAGTCTGAGATGGCAGGTATCCAACATTGGTGGCATTATATTGAGACTTGTGGGATGGGGAGGAGGCAAAGCTCCTTGCAGAATCTGGCACAAGACGGGCACTGATGAGGTCAGGTGTGATATGTGCATGACCTGTATTCTGGGTGAGCACCCTTTCTGCAGGAGACACCCCAGCGCCTTCCTGCAGGAGGCTGCAGAGTCTACCAGGGGCGTTGGCAGTCTTCCAGCTGTGATAACATTCACTGTGGATTTGTGGTGTTGTATGTGTGGAAATGGTTATTGCAACTTCTTATCCTCGTATTGCAACTTCTTTTGAAATATCAAGTCAAGTGTAGTGATGAAATATTGGAGGGGATTTCTGTAAAATAGGAGATGTGTGAGTTTGTCTAAAAGTTGATGGTTATGTAAGTTGTTCAGGTCTACAGATTGCATCAAGTTCTGTATTCTGGGAGTGTTTCACGGCTCGGCTGTGCCTTGGGGGTGTTTGTGGCCCCAGTGCCAAGGTGGCACACACGCAGTAGAGCGTGTATTTGGGTCAGTGTCAGAGTATTGGGTTCTCTAAGCCAAGGGGGGAAGCTGACTGTGCTTTACCAAAAACAATTCTGTAATTCAAACTGAAATGTCTGCAGAGCCACCAGTTTGATACTATCTTATGTTATCAAGCCAGTGGGCAGTGCCTGAGCAAGTGGTGCCAGCAGCCGCCATGAGGGATGCTGTAACGTGATGGAGTGTACATATTTATTTACTTTTCTAAATGCTGCCAACAGCCAGATGCCTTTTGTTTTACGACCATTGTATTCAGTTCATTACCAAAGAAATGTTTGCACTATGTAATGATGCCTTTCAGTTCAAATAAATGGGCCACGTTTTCAAACGGAAAATGACTTTATTTTTTTTTAACCTGAAATCGATAAATAGAGCTAAAATTTATTTTCCAGGTGAGATCAAATGCATGAGAAGAAAGGAGGTAGGTCCTGGAAAGATGCCCAAGAACGGTCCTCACCACTAATAATTTTATGTGAGAAATGCAAAAAGAAGAAAAAAGAAAGGGATTAGATACAATGAACTTGTTTTTCCAAAGTAGCTAGGCTGCTTAAATTGGGATGATTTATTGTTTTTAATCTTGGGCAGGTGGGAGTTGAGCTCTTGGGAAATGCTTCTGGCAGCTACTTCATTTCCTGGAGTGTTTGTGGTGTAGACAAAGTGGATACACGTTGTAAGCTGACTGCCACACCAAGATATCCCTGATTGGTGGACATTGGCCAAAAGTAGGAGTCAGGTCGGGGAATTGGAGGGCGTGGGGGACAGTTCCCCTCCACAGACCTGTGCTGAGCGTGCCTCTGTGGCCAGAAGTAAAGGACCGTGTGTGAAAACTGCTGATCCCCTCGGGGTTGGTTGGGTAGGAGAGAAGAAGTTGCTCTAAGAAAACCGAAAGGGTTGGAGGTTATCTTCAGAGGACCTGGGAAAATATCATTACTGTCTATAGTTATCCTAAGAAGAAAGTGAAATATTAGGGTTAGGGAAAGATTAAATATTAAGGTGTTAAAATTGCCAAATCATTTCACAATTCGAATGCGGAATGGAGTTGCTTTCCTGAGCATTCTGTTACAGGGGATGTCATGCCTAGATTCTCTGGGGCAGTGAATGGTGAGCTGTGAATGGTGAGCCCAAGATGGTCTGTGCCCACACACTGTTACAAACCCAAAACTTTAACCCTTACTTAAGAATTGTATCGATCGATTCCAACAGCTCTTCTGTTTCTGTTTCGAAGTGACAAGTGTTGTGTTGAAATTTTTTGTGTAACACGAGAAAGTTTCCATTCCACTTGATCCTGAGGATTTCAAGGCTGCAGTGAACTGTATAGTTAGTCAGGAGAGCACCTGTCTGGGCAGAGCAGCTGCAAAGGGCACGTCAGCCCAAGATTGAGAGAAGCACTGGACAATGGAGGCGAGACCACACTCTGCATGGAGCTGGACCAGCACCCAAGAGCAACACCTGTGTCACTTTTAGCCACACTCGTGCCACATGCTGGCCACATCTGTGCTGTACATGTGTCTGGAGCTCCTGGGCTTGGAGCCCCTGGGTTAGCTCATGAGACCCTGTTTCAGGGAAGGGCACGTGGTAGTCTGCACTTGGGCAGACCCTCTTCTACCAAGCTCTACACATGCACAGTGGGGGTACGTGTTGCCCAACTCCCTCTGCGGAGGAGACTTGGGCTCCACAGTTCACACAACTGACTGGATTGGGCCAGAAGCCACGGCCTATGAACACAGAGGTGCAGTTCATTCTGGCTCACAAGCATCTCATTTGCTTTTTACTCCTCAATCAACAAAAGAAAAATTAGGCACTTTTCTAATCATTTTATCATGAGGGGAAAAAAATAAGTGCTTATACCAATTTTAATTTAAATGAGATGCATAATATAAAACTAGCAAAAATTAATCATATGTATCTTGCATGAAAAAGATGGAAAATGTCTAGAAACATTTCTATTGTCTTTTGCTTTTAATACTTAAAATCTGTTTCAGGTGTGCAAAATTATATGCCTGGAGATTATTGTGAGTCCAGTTTCAGACAACCACAATAAAGTGAATATCAAAATAAAATAGGCCACACATTTTTTTTTGTTTTCCAGCATATAAAAGCTATGTTTACATTATACTGTAGTCTATTAGTTGTGCAATAGCTTTAAAGAAGCAATGTACATACTTTCTTTCACAAAAACTTTATTGCTAGAAAATGCTAACTATCATCTGAGCCTTTAACAAGTCATAATCTTTTTGCTGGTGGAAGGTCTTACCTCTGTAATGATAGCTACTAACTGATCAATATGCTGGTTGTTGATGGTTGAGGTGGCACTGGAAGTTTTCTAAAATAAAACAGCAAGGTTTGTCACATCAATTGACTCTTCCTTTCATGAAAGGTTTCTCTGTTGCACGCAATGCTGTTTGACAGCATTTTACCTACAGTAGAGCCATTTTCGAGATTGGAGTCAATCCTCTCAAACCCTGATGAAGCTTTCTCAACCAAGTTTATGTAATATTCTAAATCCTTTGTTGACATTTTAGCAACGTTCACAGCATCTTCACCAGGAGTAGATTCCACCTTAAGAAACCACTTTCTTTGTTCATTCATAAGAAGCAATTCAGGTTTTAGCATGAGATTGCAGCAGTCCAGTCTCATCTTCAGGTTCCTCTTCTAACTCTAGTTCTCTGACTGTTTCCACCACATCTGCAGTTACTTCCTCCACTGAAGTCTTTAATCACTCAAAGACAATTTTGAGGGTTGGAATCAAAAATCTTCCAAATTCCTTTTAATGATATTTTGGACTTCTCCCATGAATCACGAATGTTCTTAATGGTATCTAGAATGGTGAATTCTTTCCAGAAGATTTTCAGTCGATTTTGCCCAGATCCATCAGAGGAATCACTCTCTAGAGGAATTGTAACCTTAAGAAATATATTTCTTAAATAAGTTTGAAAGTCAAAAAGACTCCTTGGTCCATGGACTTCAGAGTAGAGGTTGTGTTAGCAGGCATGGAAACCACATTAATCTTGTACAACTCCATCAGAGCCTTTGAGTGGCCAGGTGCATTGTCAATGAGCAGTAATATTTTGAAGGAAATCTGAGCAGTACGTCAATACAGTGGTCTTAAAATATCCAGTAAACAATGCTGTAAACAGATATACTGTCATCTAGGCTTCATTGTACTACTTACAGAGCACAGACAGAGTAAATTTGGCAAAAGTCTCAAGGACCTTAGCATCTTCAGAATGGTAAATGAGCATTGGCTTTGATTTAGTCAACAGCTGCATTGCCCCCTAACAAGAAAGCCTGTTTTTTGAAGCATTGAAGCCAGACCTTGACTTGTCCTCTCTAGCTATGAAAGTCCTAGAAGACATCTTCTTCCAATAGAAGGCAATTTTGACATTGAAAATTTGCTGTTGAGTGTAGCCAACTTCATAATGATCTTAGCTAGGTCTCCTGGGTAACTTGCTAAAGCTTCTCATCAGCACTTGTGTTCTGGAGACGGTTCTTTCCGTAAACCTCATGTTATGTTAGCAGGCATGGAAACCACATTAATCTCCTTGCACATCCCATCAGAGCCGTTGGATGGCCAGGTGTATTGTCAATGATCAGTAATACTTTGAAAGGAATCTCTGCTAGCTTCAAACTTTTCTTCTGCAGTTTCCTCACCTCTCTCTGTCTTCACAGAATTTAAAAGAGTTAGGGCCTTGGTCTGTGGGCTTTGACTTAAGGGAATGTGGTGACTGGTTTGATCTTCTATCCAGACCACTCAAACTCTCGTGCAATAGTAAGACTGTTTTGCTTTCTTGGTATTCATGTGTTCACTGGAACAGCACTTGTCATTTCCTTCAAGAACTTTTCCTCTGTAGTCATGGATTGACTGTTAAGCACAAGAGGCCTGGTTTTCAACATAGCTTCCTCACTAAGCATAATCATTT